TAACAATATGTTGAATATTTGTGTTAATGTGTCTATTTCTCGGTAAATTATGACTATTAGAAATGTAAACTAATATTTTTACATTAATATATGGTCTTATAAATACGTACTTTTATTTTATTTCAAAAATAGAGGGGATTCAGATTGACATGTTCCAGTGTTATCATTGCTGAAATTTGAACTAGATACTCATAGGCCTAACATTATATACAGATTTTAATAAAACTTAATGTAGACCAATGCCGATCTTTTTTGCATCTCAATCACATGGACAACAAAAAAAACTTTGATATACTGTAGATATGCATTATTGCATACCTGACAGTAGATAATACTGCAGACGACATATGGGTCAAGCGAGCGGTCCATGTATTATCAGCTCAGAATCATCATATTATATTGATGCATGTCTATGTTAAAGCTTACTTTACTTATATGTTAAGAAGAATAAAGATACTCACCACAACAAAGTCATGTAAACGTCTCTATCTTCAATCCATTTAACTATGCATTGCATTGGTTCCATTGCATTCCGGATTGTCAGTTATATTTTATCACATCGGGATCGGTAATATTCACCTTTTTACAGATGCAAGTTTTGGGCGAGTGGATTTTATATCCTTTAAAATTCATTTACGGGCACAATAAATTATTCAAAAATAAATAATTTACTGTGACTAATTAAGTTTAACCTTTATTTCTACTAAGCCCTACTGAGAGGGGGGAAAATCCGGAAATTATCGTTTACACAAGCCAGGCATCAAAGTACTGAGAAGTATCATTTAAGTAGGGCGCCACACGTGAACCACCAAAAACCAAATGAATTATGGATTAACATATATCAATTTAACTGTGTTTAAATTTTCATCATGGTTCAAGGTTGGCGCCTACAAAAAAATCGCTGTAAAAAGGTCTAAATTTCTTTGAAACTTGGTATTTTAGCATTACCGCATCCGGTTTTGATGTTTATAATACGGCACGTGCTGTTTCCTTCCCAAAAATCAAGACGGAGACCAAAGGTTTAACATCTAATAAAAAGTTGGCCTACGTTTCGCTGCTTAATAATGAAGTTTGATTTTCAGGAATTGACAGGGCCAAATCATGCAGATTTTGGCTTAAGTTCTTTCGAATGTGAATGATAAATGAAGATAAAAGTAATCATGCTCAAAATTCCACTAAAACAAGACAGGAGCAGAGCAAACACGAACCTTTAAAGCAAGGGTGGGATTAGAACCCACAGTGAAGTAAGCATCCACTTATGGGGCGCCGTTTTTGTATTTACTGCCAAAAAATGATATCACCTATTCGAATAGTTCTGCATTTAATTTTAATCCACCCCAATAAAAATTGTAGTTTGTTTTGCTCACAAATTAATTTAATTCACTTATCTATCATGTAAACTTTAAGAAAAATTGGAAAAACGATTTGGAAACTGAGTAGTCCGAATTTTCTTGGTTTCCAGTGGTAATCTTTATATTATAGGGAGCATTCATTATTATAAACGGCGCCTCATATCCACTGGTAACCGGTCACGTCAGCTGTGTATTACTTGTTAAGATTGGAATATGGAAAAAACCGTATATAATTCAGTGTGAAAATAATTACCCTAACAATTTGTATGTAAAACGTCAGTGAAAATTCGACATAATGATAGCTTGCATTGTCTGACAAGGTCATTGTCTGGAAAGTAAAATTTGCAACATGCCCACAGATATCCTTGTTTCTTCAACTAACTTGTAAGTATCGTCGAAAACCCATTTACCAGAGAAGGGGACCGACGGTGGGTTTCTGACGATGACTTTAAGTGGCCTGAATCATAAAAAAAGTGTAATTAAATATTTTTTGCAGAAGAATAGTGGCATACTTACATTTGTAATAAAATATACATGTAAATAATTTCTAAGTTCTATGGTCGATACAATGACCTTGTCAGCAAATACAATTTATCATTGAGTCAAATGCTGACTGACGTTTTTCATACCAATTGTTAGTCCATCATTTACACACTGAATTGACGACAGATTTTCCCGTTATTTCCCGATAATGACAAGGAGCACACGGTGGGTGTTACTGGTCGGCAGGGTGTACTCACCCCTCCATGGCACCTGATCTCACCTCTGATGTTTTGGAGGTCAGTGTTTGCTCTGCTCCCATTTTGTATTGTTTTATGGACTTTTGAGCTTGAACACCGCTCTTTATCCCCATATATTTCATAAGTACGAGTATAATTAAAGATGAATATACTCTGACTATATGGTGATTTCTAATGCTGAATATGTCAATGGACATTGAAAAAAAATTCTTTTAGTAGTAATTATTTGATTTTCTCATTTCTTAAGCATCCCTCCTGCTACTTTACATACATACTAATCTTTTATTCAATTTATTGCTTTTTATGAAAACATCCCAGATATCGCCTGATTCAAGATTTAATCCTAAGAGAAAATGTAAGCCGCTAATCAAGGCACATTTCTGAAACTAGAATAGGATGCTAAGTGTAAATACACGATGCTAGTTCTAAAACTAAATGGATACAGGTCATTAAGGGAAATCTTTTGTTTGTGTTATAGCCTTGATTTTAGTGCTGTGGGTTTGCTTTTGTAGGCAATGTAGTCAACAGAATCAAATCGCAAAAACTAATTTGTGAATCTTAAATCAGTGATTAACTCCAGCAAATGAAGAGTAATGGTCCTGTAGATAACTATAAGAAAAAAAAACCCAGATACTTGGACACATGAGCATGTTCAAAAAGCTCAAAACCAAGATATGTCTCAGACAGATTTTACTAAACATCAAAGTCCGAAGATAGTTTGTCATTATTTCTTTCTTAACATCCTAGGAACTGCCTTATCCTTACCTAATTAAGGGTAAAAGATTGCCAGTTTTGTGATCATTTACTGGTATCTTCTATCATTCTCAACTCCTTAAAAAGATTATGTTAGATAATACGGTAGAAACTAGTGTACTTCATGATATACTTTATCTATTACTCCTTTATTGGACCTTTTTAGATTTGAGGGTAAGTAATAGAGGAATTTTTTTAATGAGTTTTATGATTTTCTTGTTCAGTCACTTTTGATATTAAATCAGAGAAACTTTTTATCCTCTGAATATTATTTTCATATACTTAATCATAATTTAAGGTCCACATACTGAGATTGTTTTAATTGTTCTTCTAAATGTATGAATTTCACTGTGAAAATTGTAATACCGTCAATTTTCAGTCTAATAAGGTGATGCCTTTTCGGATAGATCTGATGAGAAAATAGTTCACACCAGTACATTTGTATTATGGAAAAAATCCAAATCTATTTAAATGTAAGGGATCTACATTTTTTTATATAAAGCGGGCTTTTCCTAAAAATAAGGAAACTGACTAAAATTTGAACGAAGACTTTTAATTAAAGTGCCTTTAAATGAAGTAAAATGTTTGATGAGCCTGGATATTTGGGGTGTACAGTAGCCAAAATAAGGTGTCAAAAGGAACTGAATGTTAAAAGTGGTTCTTAACTTTTCAAAGTGTCGATGATATTTCACCCTTGACATCCATTAATGTTAGAGTTTTAAAAAATGTCTTTTGTATGAGAAGAAGGTAATCATTTGCTGTGACCTTCAATTCGACATTTAGATACAAGTGTTTCGACGATGTATTATCAATTAGCAATAGATACTTACATTCATATGTTGATTCCGTATATCAAAGTGAACTTGAAATAAAAGACACCATAGAGTCTGTCACGTCTGTTTCATAGTTAAATATGTTACTAGAAAAAGTCGTCAATAGTAACTAAACAACAAAACGGTGTTGTAAACATAATGACTTTAAGATTTTGATGCTTGGATTGATATAAATTTTTTGAACGGAAGTAACATAAATAAATAATCCGTAAGATATAAAATAATCTTAACACTAAAGTATTCTTTGCTGCTGTCATTTTTATGCAATTCCATACAAATTTTGCATACATTTTCAACATTGAGTCACAATTTTATAAGATTCTGCCACTTTGCCTTGCAAACATTACTCACGTCCCCTATCTGAATATAGATCTATGAAAAAAAATTGCTGATTTCTAAAGAAAAAGATTTTTTGTGTTATTTATCCAAGTCATCGGTGTTCCTAGGAAATAATGTGACTGCTCTGTGTTTTTTACGCCCAAAAAGGATAATTCCTTTTGGAAAGTGCAAGTGGGGGTGTCGGAAACGATCCTGTTCAATTTCAGCCGACAAAAATGACCAGAAAAATTTAGGTTACGTTCGACCATCGATGTCTTAAATGTGACCTAGGCATTACTCTAACAATTTAACTTTCTATTGTTTGTCTATAATCATGTAAAGAAAAATACTTATACTCACCGGAAAGGTCAAATGCAGGTGACCATATTAATGCAGTATATATTTTCTACAATGCTGAATCACAGCCAATCAGAGAGTTAGGGATTATTCAATCATACAATAGTTTTGACATAAGTTAACAAAACTTTTTGTTTAATTTATTGCCTCTATGATTTAATCTACCGATGAAGTTTACTAAGCTGTATACACAATGAACTATGTATGGATGACACTAGATATTTGATCAACTGTCTTTAATGTCTCCTCATTCTCTAGGAACATGAAATACCAGGTATCTCAACAACATGCTATCGGATCATTAGCATCGTCTAACACCGTCTTTACACGTTTTTCCCCAGACTATTTCCCTATGGATAATAGGAAGCTCATTAATATCAGTCTTCTGTCGTTTTATTCTCAAAATATTACGGCGTCTGATCATTTTCACTTCATTCGATACACGGACTTAGTCACATTATAGGAAACAAACCATCTACATAGTACAGTATCTGCTCTATAGGTTTCTATTTTAAGTAAAGACAAGTTTATTATTTTCAGAAATCATTAATGTTGACTTGCAGTCACCAAGAAAGAGTTTTTTTACTCCAGAAAACGCCACTATTAAAGTGCAAACTCGAAATACATCTGTATTAATGCTATTCCAGGGTGCATCAGTCTTCACTTTTAACAAGAAGATCGCCAACAAACTTCACAAGCCTCGGCGGCGAGAGCAGGTGTCCGAGATTCTACGTCATGACGTCACTCTCCTGAACAAAATGTCGAACGCTTCCGTCCTCAGCGTGTACCACGGTCTACAGGAGGACAAGTGAGTAGTACGTCAGTGTATGTGTATATCAGGAGGACAAGTGAGTAGTATGTCAGTGTTTGTGTATATCATAGCCGAAGAACCTATCTCTAGTTGTTAGTATTATGTCATTGTATGTGTATATCATAGCTGAAGAGCTTATCTCTAGTTGTGATAGTATGTCATTGTATTTGTATATTTTAACTGAAGAACTTATCTCTAGTCGTGAGTAGTATGTCATTGTATGTGTATATCATAGCTGAAAAACTTATTGCTAGTTGTGAGAGAACTACTCTGAAATTTGATTTTTTTTTTTTGGTGTTGAAATTTTGTTCCTTTCGAGGTATGAAGTGACCCACAAATTTATGTCCACCATGTCAAAATTTATTTCTCAGAATTCTTCCTCCACGAAATCATATCTCCAAGACCTACCATATTATTTCAAGCTACAACGAAAATATGAAAATTTACAGTAATCTCTAGCTATGTCGTAGCCGGAGAACTTATCTCTAGTTGTGAGATTTAACTTTTAATTGATGAAAAAAATCTTGCTTTTGTAGGGAGAGTTTGTCTTTTGCCTCAGAACCTGTCGCCGGAAGCTTAGCAAATTTTCTAGAAAGATTTGACAAAATGTCTCCTCAGAGCATAAGCACGGTTGGTATTACTGTATTAAAAGACAATCAAGAATTTTTAAAAATGTATTTAAAATGAGATGCTTCGAATAATGCTCTTACCTTTTCTTTGATTTGGTTATTGTGAATCTCTGCAGACGTGTGGCTTTATGGAACACGAAGTTCAGTGTGGAATTTATCAGGTATTTCAGTCAATCTTAATTAAAATTCTGTATTTCATTTTAATCAGTGCGGGATAAAGATTTTGTAGAAAATTAATTTTAAACAATTAAATGCTATATTTTTCTTCAAAAAGGGAATCACATGATCTGAACCACAGGAATTCTTAAAGAGAATATCTTGTCTAAGAAGGACCATAATGCAGAAAACGTCTCTGGAATAAATTTTGAATGATCTATTAAATACTTATAGGAACATAATTCACTAAAATTTTACGACTACTTTTAGCAATCCTTTTTTCTGTTTAAATGAACAATCGTAATCTTGTAGATTACTGAAGCTTTAATGTACGTCCATGGTGTAGAGCGGATGATACATCGTAACGTTAACCCCGCCTCCATTCTCATCACCCAGTCAGGGCGCTGGAAACTGGCCTGCTTTGGATTTGCAGAGAAAACACAAGATGGAAGAGTAAATATGAATATTTTATTGTATAATGATTTATAAATCTACCGCTTTTGTTGATTTTAAAGGTATATATAAACCAGTAAGTAATTCCTGTATATATGGTGTATGATATCCACTATGTTGAAGTAAAGATATAGAATATTTTTTTCTAAATATCACAGTCCTTTTAAAAAATGATAAAAATATCTTAAATTCAATGCAGGTTGTTTTAAGCATGATATATATAAAGATAACGAACAATAAGCATGCTCAAAAGTCCATTCAAACAGTAGAAATCAGGACAGAGGAAACGTTGACCTCTAAAACGACAAAGTTGGGATGAGGTGCCATGGAGGAGTGAACATTCCATGTCGACCATTAACATTTGTCATGATCGGGAAATAATGGGAAATAATGGGAAAAGCCGTCTCTCTCTCTCTCTCTCTCTCTCTCTCTCTGACATACCTTGATTAAGACTTCTTGGTTATACACACCTTAGGAATCCTTTTCATGTAAAGCATGGAGCCCAAAGATTTCCAAGATTTGCACAGCCTTTTTTAGATTTGAAATACATGTATGTGAAACAGATGTTTCGGGCATCGTGGTGTTTTAATTCTCAAGCTCATTGTGATATATCGTGTCGATATGTCGACATAAGAATTGATATAAGTATCGATAATTGATAATACGTCGTCGATATATCTAGTTCTTAAAACGTAAAAAATGTAGGATGTTTATAAATCAATTTGTTTGTATTAACACTTTTCAGATTAAATACTGAATATGAGTCAACTCTCTCTCTCTCTCTCTCTCTCTCTCTGACATGCCTTGTTTAAGACTATACACACCTACAACATATGTCAAGCAGTTAGACACGGTATGTATTTGCTGCTTTCTTCATTGTTGATATTTTAGATTGTTGGCACCTCTATGTCCTCACTGCGTGTTCTCCTGATGTATAAATAACTTCAATCAAATTCTTAGAAAAGGAAACTGTAGTTGAAAAAAAAGTCCATTGGCACTCCCCATCTAAGTTTGTGAAGTCTATGTCTACCCCTTTTATTCATTAAAATCAACTAGGTCTACAACTTACCCGCCATGTTGGATTTCGCTTTGGACGTATTACGGACTTTCTTTAAAGGTGCATAGACACAGATTTGAAGTTAATATTTTCTCAAATTTTTTGTATAATATCACGACTTACATATTGCAGTAGCATTTCACACGGAAATATATTACACTGTAATTTCATTTAAAAGTTATTGAAACTTCAAATTTTGGGCGGGTTTGATGAACACTTCCATGCATTTTCACAAATTTTAATTTTTTTTTTAATACTTAGGAAAAGTGGCAATCTTATTGTGTATTAATGAAAAATATTAAAATTTTAATAATACTGATATTGAGGTCTCGCCAGTTCTTATCCAGAGTGATGTTGAATGACAAAATAAGCGGATTAACCACGCCAGCCATTGCGATTTTGATGCCATTTTCCCCTCGCCTTGTAGGTTTTCTCCTTGTCAATCCATTTTATTCAAAAGGAAACAGAAACTTGAAAGTTTTGCACTGAAAATCGAGTATGAATGATACCAAGATGAAAGCAGAACCATGATATTAGTTCTCGTGTGCCACATATTTGATAGAATAGCTATGACGTAAAAAGCAGAAGATTATTTTTTGTATTTATATTCTTTTTTAATTTTTTTTTCATTTCTTGTTTCTTTAAAGCTTACTCAGAAGTTTGGAGACATTGCTCCCATGATGCCCCCCGCTTTGGTGGACCCGGTGGAAAAGATGATAAACAGGGACATCCGCTATCGACCTACAGCCCAGCTCTTCTCATTGGTTAGTTGCCATCGATCACGTGGACTCCTGTCATAGCTCACTAATAATTCTAAAATAATTTACAATGAGTCAGAAAATCAGAATTCTTTCTTATATGCCTTTGTAGAAAGAAAATTAAAAAGTATAAAATCAGTTAAATATATAGTACTGATAAAAAAAATGGATGGGCAAATTTATTAAATACATGAACATGTACTATTTTATGACGTAATAATTAAAAGATGTAGGTTTGCATTTAAAATGGCCATCGCTGCCACGGAAACGGATGAAAGTAAGTTCGGGGTGACAGATGCTTTTGCTTGCAAAAGCAATGTTTATTGTCTTCTTTGATTTTTTTAACTGATCATATTTTATTTCATATCACAAAGATAGGATTTTTTATCGCGTACTCAGGCAAAATTAAGTCTGTTGCCTCCATGTATATTGTATGCAAAACATTTGAAATGTTATTTGTTCGGTATGCTTTTTTTATTGTCATTGCGCAGTCTATATTGCAACATATCAAGTTTCGAAATGTCAGAAACACATACCTGAGGGTTTTTCAGCAATATTTTAATGTCAATTCACTCTGTACTCTTTAACCTTCATTGAAATATTGTGTTCGATTGAGGATGTTCTTTTTCACTTTCTTGGTACAGACGATTATTTGCTGTAATGGCGATTCTTCGCTTGTAAAGGTAGATTTCCACGTTTTGATGTCCAAGGTCCTTCTTCCTGTTAGTTGATTAAAGATGGTCTTCATTTATTTCAATTTCTGTATTTTATAAAATTCACTGTCAATATAAAAAATAAAATCGACTTTTTGTTTCAATAGATTTTTTGCCATTGGAAGATAAAATTTATGTTGATTTCATTTATTTTGAAACTTATATGGAAGATGTCCCCTTAATAGAAGTCATATATTCGGAGCATATAGCTTTGTCCTTTAATTAGTTTATCTTCCAAAGCTGTATTCTTTACCATGGTAAGTGTTGGAGCTTTCATATTTCACACTGTATATAACTTGTCACAAGACCTTTCGTTTGGTATCATTATTTGTATCGAATGTCCATTGAAAAACTTTAATCTTGGACATAACTTTTGAACCGTTGCTGCTAAGGCGAATGATATGTGTATTCCTTGTGACAAGGCTTTTTTTTGGGTAGCAAGATTTTATTACCTCAAAGACCTTGGACTTGTTAGATTGACCTTAACAATCTAGTAGATATATTTTGAACACTTAGTGCTTTGGCTTTCATATTTCACATGTGACAAAAACGTTATTTGGATATCAACATTTTTAAACTTGGCCTTAAGATGAAATACAAGGGCATCGATATTTCACAAACACATTGTGTTCCACTTGGAGATGTGTGTGTGTGTGTGTGTGTGTGTGTGTGTGTGTGTGTCTAAGTATATATTTAAGGACTCTTTATAAATGGCTGCTCATGTTGTTTTAGCTGAAGATGTTCCACGACCCCACGGTCACCACACTACAGCAGCTTGACAACCTCCACTTAAAGAGTCCCTCCGATAAATCCCACGTGTTCGGTGTGATTTCTCAGAACATTCCACTTCTTCCGAAGGTCAGTCAAACTTATATTTAGATCTAAAAATACTAGTACAATCTTATTAATGTCCATTTTCCAGGAAACTAAGAAAAAAAATAAAATAATGCACGTATATTTTACTAATATAGGTTTGTGAAAATAAAAAGTGGGTTTAAAAATTTTCATCTTGTTTTCAAAGAAGAATATTTGCGATATGTACGAAAAAAGAATATATATAAGTCTTTCATACATGTATTGCAATCTCTTGAATTTTATTACCTTGCTTAAATCTTGCTCAAATAAATCTTGAATAAATAACTCGCATTTTTCTATCAAATTACCAAACTGGAAAAGTTTTCATCTTCCCTTTTGATAGGCAATTCGTTGTTCCCGCCTTTTACCCAGCCTGCACCAGGAGTTTACGTCACGTGACTCTGTCGTCACAGCGTTACCGCCCCTTTTATCGCTGGTTCAACACTCATCTCCTGAGGAGTTCTCACAATATGTCTTTCCAGAAATAACCTTTGTGTTCAATTGCTCAAAGCCCGAACAGGTAAGGGACAAAATAAACAACTAAAGGGCTTCTTAGACCTTTTATGATAAATTACTTATTTGATATTATTAGCGGGATTTTACTCTTGGAGCAGATGTTTCAATTAATATCAATTTTGATTAGTTACATTGCTTAAAACATTGGAAGCGCTCGTTCATTACTGCACGAAAAAGTCCATTTCATAAGATATCTGTGTTTGTTATAAGTGAAAATGCTTCAATAGATAGTTAGAATATATAATAATTTCGAATATCAATTTTCGATGAAATTGTGTTGTTCATTCTAGCGAAATGTTTAACACCTAATATCAGCAAATACTGTACCGGGTATGTGTACTTAAAATGGCGGGCTTCATATTTTAGCGGCTTTGATGTAGGCGATGATGCGGTAATTCATGAATACCGCTAAGAAATCATTTTTAGATAGAACATACTGGACGAACATGAGTAGTGCTAATTCATGATTACGCCAACTCCATATCCTTTGATCGCGCTAAATTTTGTTCACGTACAGTAGATTTTTTTATAAATTGAAGTTTGAAACTCTGCCTATTTTTATTATGCAAATAGGTTTTTTTTGTCTGTGCAGGGAATTTATTTCTGTAGATGGAGTTTAAGAAATATCTAAATTCCTACAAAATGCAAATATAAAATGACAGGAATTGCCAACAAATATAAAAGCACGTTTTATCAGTATTTTGCGTACAGAATTACTTTGCAGCCTTCAAGCAGTTATAAACTGGCCTTTCCGACCATCCCTTAAGAACCCTTAAATTATATGGGGATTTTTGAACATAATCACTACATTTGATAACGTTAGAATTCAACCGTTGACATTTTCCTTAACTGTAGGCGAGAATGTCAGTATTAACGACACGCCGCTGAAGTAACATCCTAAATCTGCGAGATATATCATTGTCTCCTCCGAGACATTTTAAATTAAGCTATCCGTATTGTTATTTCAACAGACAACCATATATAATTTGGCGAGTACGTCTGATTTCTTCCTCATAGATGCAATACGTTACATTAAGGACTTTCTAACTACATGTTAATTAGAATTATTTCTTTTGCAGGGCACTGTGTATCTTCTGAATAAAATCGATTTTATAATATCCAAATGCACCACTAACCAAGTTCGAAGTGATGTTATGCCATTCATCTTGAAACATATTAAATCCGAGTCGTTTAGAATACAGGTAATAAGAATCCTCGAAAGCAATCAAATTCTCTTATTTTCTAATTATGCAAATGGGACATCTAATAGATTGACAATTCTAGGCAAAATATAATGGAAATGACTGTCATAAAATTGCATGGCGTTGCATTGTACATGGTTTTTAGTCAGCCTGGCTCTTGTTCTCTTTAGTTGGGGCTTCCGTCCTTTCGGCCACACTCTGGAGTTTTTATGTTCCAAATACATGTCTATATTGTGATCTATGTAGTTCAATATACCGCTAACTGGAAGGCTTTCAATAATGTACATTCCATCAAACTTGAAAGCTAAATGATTAATCTAATTTTACGTCCAAAATAATTTATTAATGTTCTTTAAAAATTAATTATTATCCTGCTGAATTAATCGCAGACTTTTTTGTGTGTTCATGGATTCGAAATTAAAAGCGTAAGAAAGGGGAATGCAAATGTTTTGTAAATCAGCGCGATCTTTTTGCCAGGAAGCTGCCCTGAATGCCTTATTGGTCGTCAAAGACTGTCTGGACGACACCATTCTCAGATCGACCGTTCTTCCTTGTGCCAAAGAACAGTTTCTTCAAACGGCCGATGTTAAGGCAAGCTAACAAACATTTACGTACTGTATACAGGGAAATTTTCGCCACCGTTTTATTTTGACCCCAAAAAAAAATAAAAAAATCATTTGGGCGAATTTAAAACGGAGCGAATTCAAAGAAAACAGTATAATTTCTTAAACAAAACTAGGACTGGGCGAATTTAAAACGGGGCAAAATTGTTTGCAAGAGTGAAAGGGCAAAAATAAGGCGGGCGAAAATAACCCTGTATACAGTATTAATCATAGAATGTTCAGTGTTGTATTAAAGAAGCCACTTTGACAAGAAAAAAAAATAAAAAAATAAAAGGGGCATTACTATACTCATAAAGACCTTGACGATGTTGCGTACATTACTCTTGTAAATTAGATATTTGTCTAAATAATCCATACATAATGATTCCTTTCCAGTTTATGTATGGTATCACATTGCTCTTCGTGCAAAATTTGACCTTTTTCATTGCAATTGGTTATTAAGGCATCCAATGACAGACGCCATAGATAAAGTTATAAAAATGTTTTCAGCAAATACATACAAAGCAATTTTTTTTTTGTATCGAGGACTCAAATGTAACTGAGGCATAATAAATTGCCTATTCCTCACTTGTCGATGACAGTTCGCTATGGCTCTGTAATGCTGTCATCAAAAGGAGAGAATGTGAATACTATAATTTGAAATGTAATCACTCTGTTTATATTATGTTTCAGATCAAGCTTATAATATTGTCGTGTATTAAACATTTATTGAGCATCATGAATCCTTTCACGATCAGAGAGGAAGTCCTTCCATTCCTAGTCGACATTGCCAGCTACCAGGATGCATCAGTAATAATGGCTGTTGTTGGTAAAAAAATTATTTTAACATTACGAGTATCATTTTTCTTTTCTCAAATCAGAGATACCTTTTATAGAGCCATTTTTTCTATTTCAGGTATATATAAACATATGTTAAACAAAAGGGATTCCGTGTTAACCAGGGTCTTTCTTGCACAGAGTGGAATGCCTTCTCTTCTCCCACACACTGTGGACCCGGATCTCAGCACTGACCAGGTGATTCACGTTATACTGTAGACTACAGATCAGGTGATTCATGTTAAAATGTAGACTACAGACCAGGTGATTCATGTTATACTGTAGACTACAGACCAGGTGATTCACGCTATACTGTAGACTACAGACCAGGTGATTCACGTTATACTGTAGACTACAGACCAGGTGATTCATGTTATACTGTAGACTACAGACCAGGTGATTCACGTTATACTGTAGATTACAGACCATGTGATTCACGTTGTACTGTAAACATACTACAGACCAGGTGATTCACGTTATACTGTAGACTACAGACCAGGTGATTCACATTATACTGTAGACTTCATACCATGTGATTCACGTTATACTGTAGACTACAGACCAGGTGATTCACATTATACTGTAGAGTACAGACCAGGTGATTCACATTATACTGTAGACTACAGACCAGGTGATTCACGTTATACTGTAGACTACAGACCAGGTGATTCATGTTATACTGTAGACTACAGACCAGGTGATTCACGTTATACTGTAGACTACAGACCATGTGATTCACGTTATACTGTAGACTACAGACCAGGTGATTCACATTGTACTGTACACTACAGACCAGGTGATTCATGTTATACTGTAGACTACAGACCAGGTGATTCACATTATACTGTAGAGTACAGACCAGGTGATTCACATTATACTGTAGACTACAGACCAGGTGATTCATGTTATACTGTAGACTACAGACCATGTGATTCACATTATACTGTAGACTACAGACCAGGTGATTCATGTTATACTGTAGAATACAGACCATGTGATTCACGCTATACTGTAGACTACAGACCAGATGATTCATGTTTACAGACCATGTGATTCACATGTACTGTACAGACTACAGACTAGGTGATTCACATTATACTGTAGACGTACAAGCCAGGTAATTCACGTTATACTGTAGACGTAATACACAGTTGTATCAGGTGATTTACATTATACTGTAGACAAAGTACAAAATAAGATTTACAGGTTCATTTGGTGCACCAGTTTCTCATTTTATTTGATGTACGGAAATTGGCCTCTGTGTATTAAAAGCGATTTATTTCCTCCAAATCACGTGATATACTTTTAACCATGGTATAATTAACAATGTACAATTAAAGTTTTAACTGAAACCATCATCCACATTTGCAGTAAATTTCATGTTATACTGTCAGTTTTCGACATTATAATACAGAAATAACTCTGAGGTGATTCTCCTTGTTCTCCTTGGCTTCCAGTAAATGTCTGGGTCTGGTAATTTGTCCAGTAGAGAAAAGACAAAAAAGCTTGGTGTTATAGCCTTACATTCTTTATTAAATACTGTAGACAAAGTACAGACCTTCAAGTTTTCCCAAGACAGAGTTTTCGTCGATCTGGCCGAGGATCTAGGAAGTTTTGTGTGTTATTAATAGAGTTGTGAAATGTAAGGCGATTCAATTATTGTTGAGATATTCCGAACACGCAATGCTTAGACTGAACTCCCTGAAATAAATCTTTGTAGGTGACGTCTAACTCATTATAAGAAGATTTGCGATGACATAAAGCTAAATCTTCGTATTGTATCCATCGAAAAGTAAGACTTATTAGCGGGAAATTGAAACATTAGATTTTTATGCAGCTGAGGTTTCAATTTCCTTACTACGAAGTTTTCTCCGCAGAACCACGAGAACATTTTGTAATAACTCGCCTTCCTCTTGTCGAGTAAGACAGATACAACAGTTGTACGTCGAATATTTCATAATATATCAACTCATCTCCTTGATAAACATTTGATAATAAAAAAAATGTCCCCCTTAACTGACTCAAAAAAGGCAATTTGTCTCTGATTTATTTCCTTGGCTGCAGTAGATTCATTTTTTTTCAAATCTGTCACCACTGTGGAATGATGAAGATATTTAGATGAGTTTTATATAGATTTAAAGGAAAAGAATATAAAAATATTTTTCTACAGAACAGCAAGCCATAAATAGTCATATTTTTGGGAAGCATTTTAAGGTAGATGCAGTGAAGATTCAAGTCCTGGTCCCTGGGTGTAAGATGGAGCCACATAGAACAATCAAATCCTTATAAGTACTGTAGGGTGGGTAGGGGCCCAACAGGCCGAGGTTACTCAGATGAGCAATCTAGCCCATCGGTCCTTGTTGCATTTATTGGCATTATACTTCTATTTTCAAGAAGTTAATGTTCAAAGCAAAACTTTGCTAACATCTAATTGTAGTCCGTGGGTGTTGTCATATACAAGTGCAAATCATGTGAGGAAGCCATATTATATAATATTCTTTAGACAGCGAATTCGTTTTTAATCATTCAATAAAATTCCCTGTGTCAAGCATTTAGATTAACTTTTAGTATTACACATCACAGATCATCATCATTGATTTATTTGTGGTTAAGTTAGTCACAGGAATTAATTACTATTCGTTTTTTTAGATCAAAGATCACTCATATTAATTGTTTATATTTTTTTCAGTTTAGTATCATAATGGACGTACTTTATGATATGTTGGGAATGATCGAACAACACAGAAGAAGTAATGGCACTCAAAGTTCTACACCCCAAAGGTAAAACACTACCCTCCACCAACGTCACTCAAAGTTCTACGCTCCATAATTAAAATACTGATTGCCAACCAACGGCACTCCAAATCTAATCCTTTCTAGAAATTTTATTATTGTCTAGTTCTATTATTGTCTAGTTCTATATAGTAAAACAACGGCATTCAAAGTTCTATAGTACTCCAATAGTAAACACTGCCAACCTCCAGCCTCTTGTCTACCAAGTTCTTTTGTCATAGATATTAATACTAGAAATCGGTATGAGTATATATATCATATACAAAATGAAAGGCCCATGGACCAGACAATACTCACCAGATTGAGTTCTGACTATGTTGTCCACCAAACCAAGCTCAAACACCACGATTTCCGCCATATTTTCCCTTTACAGTATAATATTAATATAATAACTATACAAGCTAAATCAAAGTGAGAACTTGGAAATTTAGTGTGACTGACTGTTAGAGTGACAGACAGACGGATAGACAAAGAGAGAAGCTAGTCACCCTCAAAGACTAGTTAAAAATAACTGTACTGTATTATAATTTAGGGAGAGATTGGCGCCATCCGGGGGCAGTGACAAAAATTTGCTGTTTGTTGGTAATTCCTCGCCCTCTGGAATCCAGAAAAGCCGAACAGGTTGGTTGAATTTTTATTTAATATCAAAGAAATTCTTATTTTAGGCTGATAATATTATTATTCCAAAAGTCAACTGCACTATAGTTGGCTTTATTTGTCCTTGAAACGTGATTTGAACATTGTAAATAATTAAATTATCAATATTTTTAAAAATGTACTAAGTATTATTGTGAACAAAATATTTTGTGTGTGTGAGTGTTGTCATGGCTACTGATTACCAGACCGTGACCATATTTGTCTAGTTCTCCCTTTCCCAGAATGCTCCATTTCATCACTGACTAGAGGCAGGCTCTCCCGAAACTCCAGTCAGGAAGGTAACACGTGACCTTTCCCGTAGAGAATGCAGAACTGTAGAACCAGATAAACTAACTCAGTTGCTTGTCCGCCTGCTTTGTGCTGGCGTGTAGTTAGAATAGATTTTTATTTATTTCTCGGAAAATTTGATTCTTAAAGCTTGATTATGTATTTTAGAGGAGCATTATGAATGCATGATTACCTGCAATATTTGGATATGTTATAGGCATTAGTAAAAATAGAATTTCCTTTACAAAAATATTATTCCTTTGTCATTATATATCAAATGGCGTGTTCGAGTGGCATTCTCCTCTTTCTTATGAGGCATTGAAAGAAAAATCCAGGCAATGTCAATGTACACAGGTATTCACATTAAATCAATGTTAATACTGGAAAAGAATTCATCATCTTTATTCATAATCATGGTATGCTAGGTTGATTTATACACTTGGGTCATTTAATTTTTCTTGCGGAAATCTAGGGCGAGTTGAGATTTCAAAATCTTGCAACGTGTTTTGCAATAGATATGATCTCGGGATAATATCATATTATTATTGCAAGATCCCTTTCTTTTCAAAAAAATTAGAAAAATTTAAAAAAATATTATGAATGGTTTAAATTCTCCCGTGACAGTTTTGTTCCTTTTCAATGGTGTTCATTATTATATACGTTTGAAAGAGAACAGCTTTAAGATAATTTTCAGGTTATAACTTTTTTTTATCCAAGAAAAAAAATAATGTAACCAATCCATTCTGTGATTTAACAGGAACCCATTACGTTGACAGAGATTGGCACTGAATATTTTTTTTAAGCATTCTTAGTTTATATTTTATATATTTTTAGATCAATCTTTTTATTTAAGTAACTAAATATAAATTTAATTTTCCATTACTACCTGATTTTTTTACCGAGACTTGTGATGTTTTTATGAAGTACTCTATAGATAGTATTGAATGGTGTTGTGATTGTAACCTAGTTTATACTTATCTGTCAAATGCTTCAAATATTTAAGTTACAGTATTCCTTACAGAGTAATCATGTTTATAAAGCTCAAGAAAGACTGTCTCCGATTTTAAACCAGCAGGGTTTCAGTCTCTTCAGAGATTTCTATTATATTTAACTTGCTGATTATGGGTGAATGTTATCTTGATGTGTTTCAATAATGTGCAGTTAATAAGCAAAAATAAAAGTATCATAGAGATATATACATGTATGTATAATATTCTTGATGTTTTTTTCCAGCGCCTAACAGTCCAGAGCTCTCAAAGTTAAAGGTAATGAGATATATATAAAATTAATAGAAAATGACTGTTGGTCTAAAACATATAAATGATTACTACTTACTATGTCGTTTCAAATAACAATGATTTAAATATAGATGCAATTTGAACGGTCATCAAAGGTCAATCGGTCTGATGTAGAGATCAGTAGAATAAACATATGTATGAACAACGGCAATGGACATAATCATTGTCAGAACAATCATGGAAGTTTCAAGTTTAACAGAACAAACCAGACAGATAGTCGGACTCCGAATAATAACGCTCTGATTGTGATCAGTTTCTCAACTGAGGCAGGTTATTGACAAATAAGTTGTTGTTACAGGGATATCAACTCGGTCGTAAATTCTATGATCATGATAATGACCTTGTTATATCAATAATTATAACCTATCACTGGGTCCTATTTTGACAGACTTTCATACCATATTGTAAGGCCTTTGTTTTTATTTTGAATCTGACAACGGAATGTTCTGTCTGATCGATACACAGGGCTCACGGCGGGTGTTACCTGTCAACAGGGGATGCTTACTCCTCCTAGGCACCTGGTCCAACCTCTAGAAGTTCCTGGGGTCCGTGGTTTTTGCCCTCTCAACATATTTGTTTTGTTTTCAGATTTTTTTAGATCGATCACTGTGCGTTATCCTCAACCTTATCAATCATAAAACGATCAAATTATACTAAGGAAATATATAATAACCGAGCTCAAGTTCTATCCTTACTGCAATTAATGTTTTCATTCCAGTACAACTCGGTTATTTCCGTAAAAATAGGAAATACATTTCATGTATATCGTTGATAAAGATAGCCTTTTTCCAGATATAAAACAAAGCTTTAAATAAAACTTCTGCCTGTGACCTTATCATCCCATCTTATTGGAGTTTTGGGAGGGGGTATAGTTACGAGCTTGTGTGAATGTGATCTAAAAATAATCATTACAGGAAAAAGAAATGCTGACGGTGTCTAGCAAGGAACCGCTGCGGAGGTTCAGCTTAGTGCCGCCAGGTGGCGGTACCCCCGCCATTAGTCTGACCCCGGATGATGGGGGATACTTAGATAGAAACCGACGGCCGAGTCTCCAGAACATGGGGCAGTACAACCACGTAAGGACGTAGAACTGACAAAGCTCAACACGCTAAACAAACCAATCTAAAACTTACAAATCATGAGCTTTATAAAGCTAAATGCTGCACTTAATATTACACGTAGTTGTCCAAGATTTAAAACTGCATGGTCGTCTATTTTTTTTTTCAGTTTTATCCAGTGTTCATTTTCGTATTATTTCTTGAAATAATGCAAATATTTTCTTCATGCACGCTGCAGAACTGCCAGTTTTAAACTTATACTAGAATATTATAACTGGAACAGCAGTCTTTCCATTTACAGTGAAACTTTTCTAATCCGGATCTTGTGTATTTCGATATCCTTTAACTCCTTTCACTAATATCAATTGATTAAAATGTTGTTTGATCCGGAGAATCATCTTATATCCGGCTGATATCTTTGGAAACAGGGGTTTCTAGATTAAATTAAACAAGTTTTACCGTATATTGTACCTATAACAAATAAGACAAGAACTCTTCATTTGGAAGTTGGAAATTACAAAACTTGTCTGGCCATTAGCCAGAATTTACTTGATTTATCTTTGTAATACAAAAATTATTTTAATACGTGTTACTCAAAAAACATATTTAAATTCAGCATTTGTATTGTAGGACCCGGAACGCTGTGAGCGGAAAAGTAGCACCGGAAGTCTGTTTAGTTTTTCTGAACCCAGACATACAGCGCCACGGCGCGGTAGTTTCCAGGCGTTAGGGGATACTGTGGTAGGACATTTACATATATTACACACATTTACTTTAATCGGTTAATGTTGCCTTTGTTAATCATTGAATTTTTGCCGCCGTTGAATGTCATGAATTTTTAATCTGTTGACTTCATTGTAGATGCAGCTTTTCTCTAGTAAATAATGAGGCTTCAAGATGATTTTCATAACGGTGCAGAAAAGAAAAAAAATTCATAATAGTGGGACTTCATTCATTCTTCTTTGTTACTCAAAGAAGGCGCCGAATATTGCCATACTGTAAATTACGATGCTTTAATATTGATATATTTATGTGTGTATTTTATATATTGTTCAAAATATTATTCCTGTTTTGTACAGTAAAATATTTATGATATAAAATTGTGCTCTTTATTTCAATTGACAAATAACGTGAAGCATATAACTGGAAATGGACATAAAAGGGAAGAAGTAAACACTGTTTGGGAGTTCATCATAAAAATTCGTTTCGCTTTGCTCCTACAATACCCTCAGTAGGATACAATGAATGACCTGTTTACTGAGCCTGGGGTGCCACTGGGAAGGACGGCAGGTCTACTGCACTATCAACTCTCTAACTCCAGTACGGCATGGGACCTTGTCCAGGACTCAAACAAGGTCGCTATATTCTGAATCGCCTAGGAAATGAACCTTCTTTGTTGCAGATTTGGGTTGTGTTTTGTTGTTGTGCCTCTTGGCTTTGGACTTTTCATACATTTCTAAGTAAGACGACTTCTTATGTAGAGGATTGCTCGTTATTGGCGGCAGTTTGTCCGGCTTCTTGATTTGAACACCGGAGTTACTACCCACTCGTGGTCGGACATTTATGGCTGGCAGTGCCCCGTCCAGTTTCTCTTGTTGCTCTATCTTGGTTGCGTGTTTGAACCACACGTCGTTCACGATGGACTTGATTTCCTCCTGATCCTGGATGTACGCTGCTGACTGTTCGTCCAGTTGATGGTTATAGGACGTACACATTCCTACAGAACAGATGCAGAGATGATACTAGTATTACATGACACACAAACGATTCTAAGAGACAGGAGAAGATAATTACTTGACAAACAAAACTGAAAGCCAAAACTAGAGTCGAAATTAAATTATCATACAGTCGTGCATGGTAGACAAAAATAGATATGAGAGGCGATACCGTAGAATACATAGATCAGATATGCACAGGAGTATAGATGTGATAAAACGGACACGGTCCTGAACCCCAGAGTAGAGACTTGATTACATAGCATACACAGTCCTAGATGACAGAAGTAGAAATGTGATAACATGCAATACAAAGACCTGATACAAAGAAGTGGAGATGTGACTTATTACATTTATAAACCTGATAAACAAAAATACAGATGTGATTTTACGACTTCTATAGACCTAATACACAAAGGTAGAGGTGTGATTTCCTGACTACATAGACCCAATACGAATCAAAGTACTCAGAAGTACTGAAAGCCGGGCTCATTTACAGGGTAATGAACAAAGACCGTGGTGACAGTTTAAAATCAAGTTCAGACGTTTAGAGGATATGTTACCACACAAAAATATGTCAATGGCATGTACAGTATTAAAAAGTTTTAAAAATTAAATAAAATACAGGTAGAAATTAACAGCGTAAAATATTTATCACATGTATCGTTTCGGGATTTTATATACAAACAGAAGTAAATAAACACCGATACAGCAAGATTAATTGAGGTCAAACGACTATGCACTGATGTGTCCTCAGCGGGGAGTTTTGCATCAAGTCATTAATGATGTTCCCTGCATTTGTGTTAGCCTGATAGTACAATCTTTATTTATAGAATATGACGCAGATAGGGATACCTGATGAAAACCTTCCGCACCTTTTGAATTGCTTTGTAAAATATTAGTCAAAGGAGCCAGGAAAAATGTTAGTAAATCGAATATTTTTTTACCAAAATATTAAATTGTTTATTTCTTAAGGTGTTTGAATGGATTTTGTTTTCTCAACAGCCGCTGGCCGTACGTACTATATTTTTACTCGTAAACTCAATTTGGCGGTGAAGAAGCAGCATTTTCTGTTGCTCACCGTCGCAATAGCCGGGCATTGCTCTACGAGCAACGAGCCCGGCTAAAAAGGAGAGATGATATATGACATACATACACCTGATACAATAGTAGAGATGTATGAAGACCTGGTACCAAGAAATAGAGATTTGATACATGGCATCCATAGACTTGACACATAAGAGCATGTACTACTTATGAACAGTTTCTAACTCGAGGTAAGTTATTGACAAACAAGTTGATGAAACAAGAATATCAGCAGTCTCATTCAGTCGTCATTTCTTAATTTTTATGGTCGATATGTACAATGACCTTGTCAGCAAAAACAATATATATCATTAAGACAAATGCTGACTGAAGTTTTCATTCTAATTGTTGGGCCATTGTTAAAATTTTGAATTGTCAACGGATTTTCCATCATTTCCTGACCATGACAAGGAGCACACGGCGGGTGTGACCGGTCGGCAGGGGGTGCTCACTCCTACCTGGCACCTGATTCCAACGTGTCTGATGTTTTAGAGGTTCGTATTTGCTCTGCTCCTATTTTTTAATGTTTAATGGACTTTTGAGCTTGAATAATGTTTAATGAATAAACCCAAAAAAAATGATTGTAGAGATTACCTGACTTGCAAAGACCTGATGCACAAAGTAGAGATGCGAAGTTAACAGACATACATAAACCTGATACACAAAAGTAGAGACATTTATAAAATACATAGACTTTTCCTGATACACAGAAGCAGAGAGGAAAACATGTATTGAGATACATGCAATGCAGAATCAGCATATTCTTAGATGTAAAGAATATAACAATAAATTTGATCAAATGTGTCTATATTTTGAAAGTAGATACACCTAATTTTTCAGGTGTTTTCTTACCTTTGAGAGATACGAGTTCAGATTTGAGATGTTTGACATGCTGTCTACATTCGGCTGTGGACATCCGGTCCATCTTATCGCTGACCTGCGCCAGCGACACCCCAGTCCGCAGCTGACGGGCCTCCGACCTCATCTTCTTTATCTGTCTCCGCAGGGCGGTGTTATACATGCACTGGTAGTTATATCTACGGCGACAGAGAAAAGAGGGTATGTCGTAAGATATCGGTAGAAAAGAATGTCTTACATGGACAGATAAAGAAGAGGCCTACGAGCCACATCGCTCACCTGGGCAACTATAAAAAAGTTTTTTCGACTCTTATTTTGAAGCGAAATATTTCGATCATTATAAATGTGGCCATCACTTCTTCCAAAAGATTTAAATCTATACAGTATCCAGAAGCTACAATGCCAATATGAAATCATGCTAATACCAGGGTTCATAATTTGAAGAAAAAACTTAAAACCACACAATTGGAGACTTCAATACAAATTAGTTTGGCCCTGCTAATTTCAACACGAACTATTTAAGTTATTGACATTAAACAAGTCGATGAAACAAAAATATCAGCTGTCTCGTTTAAAGTCGACATTTCGTAAATTTTATGGTCGATACAATGACCTTCTCAGCAAATACAATCTATCATTTATTCAAATGCTGACTGACGTTTTCCATACTATTTGTTAGACTATTATTTGCACACTGGATTTTCGACGGATTTTTCCGTTAATTTACGATCATGAAAAGGAGCACAATGCAGATTTAACCAAACGGCAGGGGATGTTCACGCCTTCATGGCACCTGATCCCACCTCTGATGTTTAAGAGGTCCGTGTTTGCTCTGCTCCAAAGTTTGTATTGTTTAATGGACTTCTGAGCTTAAATACTGCTCGTATCTCCATATATTTCACTTTTAGGTTTACAGTATTGAAATGTATATATGTGTATAAAGTACGACCATTTTCCCTACTGTTGCATGGAGGCATGAAAACAATCTGGAGAATGAAATGCTTAATTAAGGATACTTGCATATTACTGAGTATAATTGATCACGATCCCCCATTACTGTAGGTGTAAGATTTCTAAATTCTTTTATATTCTCGTGTAAAACTCTTTCTCTCATTGATAGTCTTATTGCTTCCTTGGGTAACTTTTTTGAAGTGGACCCGTATATGGTAAGCCTATAGTAAGATTGTCAAGGAGTTTTTTCCTTATAATTTCTCTGCGTGTAAAAGTCAGATCTCTTATATATGCAGGCCTCAAAACCAACCTCCAGCATATACATTGTATGCAATTTTCCTTGAGAAAAAAGATTTTTGATGACTACACATTTTCTTAATTTCCTTTTTTTAAATCAGACATGATCTTTCACTTGTATAATTCTGAATCAGATCAGGAAAGGTGAATTGACTCTTAATTAAGCCCAGGCGAGCTACATATGAGAGAGTTATGTAACTTAGTTGGTTTTATATGAACTTTTTGAGATCAAGTATTTGACGTATATACTATAGCTGCACTTCATCAATAATTTATCTGAGCGAGTAGTTATGTCAGACCTTTATCATTGCTATCAGTTTAATACTGAATATTTTTTTCTCAAATACTCATGAAAATCACTTCTTTATCAATTCATTTATCTTAAATTTAGAATAAGTTTTTAAGCCATCTGTGTGAACGTATTTTTTAAGCAATGTAATGAAACATACCCACCATGATGCACTGATCAATAATGCAATATTTTATGACTTTAAACCTACTTCAGTGGTTATTTATACAGACATATTAACTTTTCAACCATGGTAGACGAAATGCATAAGCGGCTTACGTGGGTAACGCAAATTTATGTTAAGGGAGGGGACAAAACCGACTAAAAATATTGATGGGTATAATCGTAAACTAGCCTTAGCTTTCTGTTGCTGTTAATAATGCAGGTCTGTTGCAACTATCTTAAAATACCAGTTACTGGGCAGTAAGTAGGATAAACTCAAAAGAAAGATGTGTTTGTGAAACACTATGCACCCGGCGGCAACGAAGTTTGAAGAAGCTATTTTAGCATACAGGTCACAGTCAAGGTCACAAGGTCATTGACCTTGATGTCATTTTAAATAACTTCATTAGTGGAGTGCATATTAAATATGAAGTAACTATCTCCCATGGTTCAAAATTTATAGTGAAGGTTCGAAAAATCTATTTTTAGCATATATGTCACAGTCAAGGTCACAAGGCCATTAAGTCATTGGGTCAATTGAAAGAGCTTGGGTGGAGTAGGCATACTAAATATGAAGTCTCTGTCTCTCGTGGTTCAAAAGTTATTGCGAAGGTTAAACTTTCTGTACTAGTAGAGTAGTGCAGCTAGTACATGTATATCAAAAACTATTACACTGAAATGATATGTAGTTAAGATTTATAGAGAAAATTGTCTAATTTGTAGTTTGTTTTTATTAAAGTACTAAAATATACTGAAGCGTTCCACTAAAATCTGTATGCATGAAATATCTGGAGATAACGGACAGTATTCAAGCTCAAAAGTCCATTAATCAATACAAAATAGGACTATAGGAGCAGAACAAATATGGATTACATGCATTAGGCCATAATAAAAAAAAATCCTAGATTCTCATCCAAATTCTTTTAAAAATCGAGGCGGGCGGGCGGCTTTTATTATATATTTTTTCCCATTTTGCAGAATTTTTATTCACCCGTTCATTCGGTGCAGATTTATCTATAATATTCGAATAAAAGTCTTGGTAGAGGTCCGTTTATCTCTTACTACACATCATCACCAATCTTTCAGAACCAATGACCCTAGTTTAATATATTTTATAGCAATTACAAGTACCATCTTTTCAGCTGTCAAAATCATGCCCACATTCACGGGATTTAAAATTAAGATGAAGAAAAACAGAAATTAAAAAAATCGAGGGGGAGTAAAAAAATTGGGGCGGGCGGGGAGGAGAATCTAGGAATATATTTATTATGGTCTTATCTTTATCATATACTGACAGCTTGTAATTATTTAAGTTTGTTTGTTTGTTTGTTTGTTTTTTTATTAACTTTTTATTATCATGCATTTATTCTTATTTCTTTATTCATTGCAACTACTTTTTTTACTTGCTTTCAGAACTTGCATGCATAATCTGTATCCATTGGATATTTTTGTGCTTTTCAGTCATTATTACCTGGTCTTCCATTCGTTGCCTTCATTCAATTCTTTCTGTTTCTTTTCTTCCATTTCTTTTATGATGGACATCCAGCCCTCTTTTGATTTCTTGTGCAGGTTCGTCCATTCTCTTTCAAGTGCAAGTTCTTCTTTCAATTCCTTTAAAGTTGTTTTTCGACTCATTTTATCCGATTAGATATGAAACAAACAATATTATGATAATATCAATATTGTGTCGTGTCATTTAATATTGTGATGACATAGCTTATTGTGACGACATAGTTTATTGTGACGTCATAGAAGCAAATGCTTTCGGTTATCAGCGATGGTTTGGTTTGATCACAAAAATAGATGTTGCATATTATGACTACATTTACTATATATTTTAAACGGTTGGAAATTGGCAATGTAAAAATTAGATAAAGATATAATACAGTATTGTCTTGGGGTGAAAGGAGTTTGCAGAAACAGGTTAGAGTCTGGGACATAAAATCATATAGTATAAGCTCTCCTGGTTGAGTATGATAGCATCAGAGACACAAACAAAAATAAAAATGTCAATACATATACATAACGGAGACGTGGCATTGTTTTTCAAAGTACGGGTCAGTCAGAGAAAAAAAATCAACTTACCTGAAAAAAAACTTTACAAGCGAAAAAAAGGGGGGAGTGTCCGATTCGAAAATAAGAATTTCATTTCCTGAGTGGGAATTGGGCGGTTCCAACTTCGTTCAGTAACATTTTTTTTTCTCATACACAATACTACATTACTCTTGTTTGACTAAACTCCAAAAAAGGGGTAAACGGTCTTTCAGGGAGCATTTACAATGGTAAAAATCATGTTGGGAAAAGGAGGGCACCCCCCACCCCCATCCGGATGCAACAGCCTGTATACACGTATGTAGAAGAGACTGAAACGCACATGAATTAAAAATACTAGTATATTTTTCGTACATTTTTCTTTTATCTTTCAAGAGTTTCTTTCTTAATGAAAGATTTGGATTTTAAAGTAAAAATCACATAGTCTAGCTATAGTTTATAATTACTCACTGTGATCTTCATTTCTTATAATCCATTTAAAAAATGATCATTGAAAAGTGTCGTAAAAAAATAAAATTGTCGCTTAGGAAGTAGAAGAAAGCTTTCCTCTCTTCATGATATAATGAACAATTTGTAAGGAAATGAACTTCATCTTCAATATATACAATTTTAATTACAAAGGGTCCATATGAATTCGCTGACTTCTTTCTGAAGTAATCTTTTTTCCCATTAATATACTTTGTATATTCATATCTTACATAATCATACTCACAGCTGGGTGCTTGAGGACAGGACTCCCCTCCCCCTACAATATAGACCCCTTGGCCTTTTCGACTTTTTTCTCATACATTATCTTTCATTGACATATTTGTGATAAGATCTATACCAGCAAATCGAAAAATTGCATAAAATAAGCTTCTTTTTTTTTTTTAAATCTACCCTACATTCTGTATATAAAATTATAGAGTGGGGTTGAAATTTTTTTTATATAATGTTAGTTTAAGTAATTTTTCGGAATTGATAGGATAGATTATATCACAAATGTGTCATCCATATAATTCTTGTGAAAATTTGTGATAAGATCTATACCAGCAAATCGAAAAATTACATAAAATAAACTTCTTAAAAAATCTACCCTACATTCTATATATAAGATTATAAAGTTGGGTTTAATTTTTTTTTATATAATGTTAGTTTAAGTAAATTTTTTTGAATTGATAGGATAGATTATATCACAAATGTGTCATCCATATAATTCTTGTGAAAATTTGTGATAAGATCTATACCAGCAAACCGAAAAATTACATAAAATAAACTTTTTTTTAAAAATCTACCCTACATTCTATATATATAAAAATATAGAGTGGGGTTGAAATGTTTTTATATAATGTTAGTTTAAGTAAATTTTTTGAATTGATAGGATAGATTATATCACAAATGTGTCATCCATATATAATTCTTGTGAAAAAAGTCTAAAAGACCACGGGGTCTATATTGGGGGGGGGGGGGGGAGTGTTCCAGCTAGTCCTCAAGCACCTACAAGTGGATCTACTACGTTCAATTCTCAATTCATTTTTAGTTTGAAAAATGTACAGCATTTTCCTAAATTATTTCTTGACAATTGCCAATTGGAATATGTTACGGAACACAAACATCTTGGGATACTTCTGTCGTCTAACTTAGGATGGTCTGATCATATTGACACCATTATAAAGAAAGCATACAAAAAATTGGGGCTTCTTAAAAAATTAAAATTTACTGTGTCGAGAGATATTCTGTCCCGAATGTATATATCTTTTATTAGACCACAACTTGAATATGCTGTTGAAGTTTGGTCTGGATGCACAAAAACAGACATTGAGAATCTTGAAAAAGTACAACTACATGCTGCAAGAATAGTTACTGGGCTTACAATTATTGCTTCAAGAAATTCATTATATTTGGAAACAGGCTGGGAACCACTGGAATATAGAAGAAATAGGGCAAAACTAATAACAATGTATAAAATGCACAATAATTTAGTCCCTATTTATTTGCAAAACTTAGTACCTGATACAAGAGGCAATATTTCAGGATACATTACCCGGAATTCTTTAAATTATTCTTTGCCAAAATATAGATTAGAACTCTACAATAAATCATTTATTCCCGATACCGTTAGAAAGTGGAATTCCCTTAGTCTAAAAACAAGAGAGGCAACTTCTATTAAAATTTTCAAAAACTATCTTCAAAATAGTAATGTAAAATCTCAGAAATATTTTTCTTATGGAAAAAGGTTTTTGAACATAACTCATACAAGATTAAGACACAATTGTATTTTAAAGTCTGATTTATATCGCTGTAACCTAATTACCAGTCCTAATTGTTCTTGTGGACTACTAGAAGATACATATCATCTGTTTTTTGTTTGTAAACATTATGTAAAAGCAAGAAATTCCTTAATGAATAAGCTATTGTCATTAAATTATTTACATATTATAGATGTACATTTAATACTATGGGGCGATGATTCTTTAACTTTCGAACAAAATGCTGAACTTTTTAAGACTATTCAAACTTTCTTAAATGAATGTGGTCGTTTTTCAAAATAAGTTTTTTCTCAACATCTCAAATTATTTTTGTATATTTAAAGAATTTATTCCTGTTTATTGCTACAATGTATACAATGTATATAGTAGACCATATGTATATATGTTTGTTTTACTTTAGCAATTTTACAAAATGTTATATTAGGAGAGGACTATCTAAGTTACAGAACTTGTGTCCGATCCTTTTGACTTTGTCAATAAAATATGTTCAATTCAATTCAATTCATGTTCACTTATTCTAAATTAACGCAACACTTTCATATATTCAAAAGATGTTAAAGAATAATTATAGAACTATTTCTCGGTGGTAAAAGTATTCTTTTTAATTAAAAAAAACATGTTTTTTTCCAAAATCTGATTTGAACACTTTCTCGCAAACCTATGTGTCGATAAAATTCGTATAATGAATGTGATCATCTTTCTTAAAAACAATTACACTAAAATCCTTTGTTATGAAAGCCATAAATAACTTTTTAACACTGATTTTAAAATGTTATTTATATATTTAGTGCTATTCTGAATAAGTCGAATCAGTTATTGAACATTTTAATTAAATCTCGCGAGACTTGAACGCGACATTACGTGGTCTCAGAAATATACCTTCCGGATAGAATTCCGACTTCCTTGTCATCAAAGAAGTGTTTTTTGGTCAAAAAATGGACAACTTTCCTGGATGATTAACTGGTAAAGTTATTTAATGGTAATAACAATTTATGGATCTTAATTTATATATCAAATCCATAATGAAATCCGATATTGGTGCCCGTCGCAAGTGCTACAGGCGTGTCTTTCCCATTTTATCAACTGATTTCCGTAAACAATACACATTTCAGGACACAAAGTTATTATTTAATAATGATTAAAGTGATCAAGTGAGTAATGTGTAGATATGATAGACTAAATTATATACTACTACACCGGGTATAGAATGTTATGATTATTCTGATTATGCCCTTCAGGTAACTGAATACCTTAATTCATCATAATGACCAATTTCTTAAATGGGATATACACTTATACAGTTACAGTGCAATGATTGAAGAAAATTTACTTGCAATAACATTGTACATCTGTATTGAAGTATTAGACGAAGAATAATTTTAAAAGTTTTTTCAAAGTATTTCTTTTAGCTAGTGTTGTCACGATGATCGATTTATAATCGATGATCGGTCGGAAAGGCTGTTGATTTTAGACAATCGATTGGAGATTTTAACAATCGATTAATCTGTATTTTTCAGCACATATCTTTTTTTTTTTTTTTTTTTTTTTTTTACAGTTTTCTCACTTTTATTTCAAGAACAGGCTCTTGTTATCAAAATATATATCTTTCAAGAGTTGTCCTTTACTATTTTAAATTTCATGTGCTTAAAATCTGTTTAAAATAAATCAAAAGATTATGTTATTTGTATTTCTAAACTGAAGAAACTAAACTACTTGTATAAATAAAATATATTAGTTTTCAGTATTTGGGGGAATTCACCTGTCATTTCATACGGAATCACAAGGAATTTGCAATATTAAATGTCTTATAACAGTTTAAAAAAATTAATTCCATACACATTTTAGATGATCATGCGAATTAAAACCTGATCTGTCAATGCTTACTTTTCCCAGGCCAATTAAGTAATTCCTAATCATGCAAAAAATCTGTATTACTGAAATCGTTAATCAAACTGCATTTATACTTTTTTTAGAATTTCGATCTGTACAATGCACCTTTACTTACATTATATAACAATGAAATTCTATATTTTGTAAAATCTTAATGCCTATTTTATGCAAAGGGTTACCGATTCGATTATTGGCCGATGATCAGTCGGTTAGGGTCAACCGATGCTACCAATTAATCGATTCTGAGTTTCAACCGATTTGACAACACTAATTTCTTTATCACTTCAGTTTATGACAGCAATTAAGACATTGAATTTGATTCTTAGAAATTGTTGTCCCATTCCCAGTTCAAGTTTACCCCATCACCTGTTCACCACAAGTGGAACCCCCCCCCCCTACGGTTTTCCTCAAAAAGAAAGCATAATGAATGTTTATATTTCCATCTTCCCCAGATTTTAATGAAAAATTTATTATTGTTAAAGAATTGCATTTTTGCTGTTGTTCATAATTTTATAGCTGAGTACTGTAGATTCATATCTACATAGTTGTATTTTGATATACTTATAAGCATGATAAATATACATTTCTATTTAAAAACTCAATTTCCAACGTATGCATTTGTTATCCTTGGCCCCATTTTATGCAAGAACTTATGACTAAGACCCAAAACTTAAGTTGATTGTAAAATTTTGCAAAATTAACGATTGAATTTAAAATTGCTATCATGAAAATATCTTTCTACATTCCTTCTTTTAAGAAGTTTAAATCGTTTTCAATTAAATGCAGGTAAGAAAGTTTTAAGCAGAATAACATTTTGTCTTAGTCTTAAGTTCTTTTATAGAACAGGCCCCTGGTTATATTTGTTTTCATTCCTATCAATGAAATAATGCATAACCAATGCATACTAGTTATAGCTATCATAACTCATAGTAAATGGTAACCATATTTTATCAAAGATAAAAAAAAATAAAATTCTTTTCAATAGTATTAAGTGCCTCTTCCATGGCACAGTCCAAATACACATATGCCTTAGATTACAATCAAATGTCAATATACAGGTGGATGCTGTTGCAAGTTCAGGATTTAAACTGTTTATATGTAATTTAATAATTGTGTTTTATTTCAGACAGCTTGTTTGATGCTCAAATATGGGTCAGTGTTTTAGCAAACCAAATGAAAAGAAGACCCCGCCTGGTGCGACTGAATTGACTGCACCAGGGATTGTATCACCCTCAACTATCAATGTCAATATCAACAGTCCTGAGAGGCCTCTTCCCCCACCGCCAGCCAAATCAGGTAATTATTACCAGAACATTATATGAAAAGTATTGCCAAAATACATGACATAAAAGTGAGCTTTAAAAAAAAACGTGCTGTAGTATTCTTGGTACATGAACATTTTAATTCTCCCTTTTATTTGCAAATTACATCAAGAAAAGTTATTTGTAATCAAAATATGTTTAACAAGAACTAAGATAAGAATTGGTATTACTTTTTAGTGCATAATAGGTTTTACCTTCTTTGCAGAAAACTCCTTAGTTGTCAGGGCTTTGTATGACTTTGATGCCATAAACGAAGATGACTTGTCTTTCAAAAAGGGAGATCGCATGGAGGTGGAGGAGTCCAGGTACATATGTTCATATATATATTGACTATGATCATTGACTCTAAATACATTGCAACTTGGTCATTTATATATATTTATATATTAAAAAATTATATCGTTAAAAAAAGTTAAATTGATTATTGTGCATTTATGTATGTTGAAATGCCTTTCGGGGCCCTTGATTGGTAAATAAGATATCTTGTATCTTGTACAACCAGTTAAAGTGAAATCACTAGAAGTAGGTGTTGACACTTGAAAACCTGGCACTTGGTTATATTAGTGTGTTTTACAGTACTATGTATGTAAAATATTGTGTATTTCTTTTTGTTAAGTTTTACATCATGTGTACTTTTTCTCATTCATAGTCAAAACTGTGATTGGTGGATGGCTCGTCACCTGGCCACAGGGCAGACTGGATACATTCCCAGTAATTACATATCTAAAGACGACGACACTCCACAAACTCAGGAGTAAGTTCCAGTGTTTTAAATACATCTAAAACCTTAAATCTCTTAAAGCATATAGAATTTATTCCTATTTCACTCTATTTAATACAGTATCATGAAACACTGTAGAAATGTTCCAAGTTTTTGTGATTGATTTGTTGTTTTTACAGCTGGTGGTATAATGTAGACCGTAAGGAGTCGGACAAACAATTAATGTTGCCAGGCAACAAAGTAGGAACCTTCTTAGTCCGAGAGGCGGCCGGTAAGTTTATTAAGGATACCTTACTTATCTAGCGGTAAAAATTGGAATTGTGAAAATATCAAGGAAAAAAATATTTATGACCATTGGACAGATGTAATTTGTAAAAGGCAAGACTCAAAAATTTATTTTAAAAATTATGTCATGCAGAAAATCAGGAAACATTAAATGAAAAATATTGTAGAGATCAGGAGTGTTTGATCACAGATAATTTACTTGAGTTTACTTTTTCTGTCCATTTCTTGTACTTATAGATTAAGAAGTAAATTAATTAAATTTTTATTTTATCATATTTTTTGGTCCAATTCCTTTAAAAAGAATACTTAAAATTATATATGCTAAAAAATATGTTTTGTAAAATAATAAAAAAAACAATAACTGTCTAATTCACTACCTACATATTGTATTTCAGATAAAGCCTCTTACGTGTTGTCTATACGTGACCACGACCCTAAAACGAACGATGCCTGTGTAAAACACTATAGAATTAGAAAGATGGACAACGGAGGATTTTATATCAGTCCACGACGAACATTCCCCAGCATGATCAAACTCATCGACCACTATCAGAGTAATGTCTTTTGATAGAAATATAATTATTTATAAAATATTTATAGTGCCTCTATATAAGTCTAGGTTTTTAATGAAACAATTCTATTTTTTAACAACAGATGTAGGAGATGGTCTTTGTTGCCAGTTAACAGAGCCTTGTCCCAAAGTTAGGCCGACAGTTCAGTTCCGTGAATTAGAAGTAGCACGAGAGTCCGTCAAACTGATGAAGAAGCTGGGTAGTGGGTGCTTTGGAGACGTTCATGCTGGTACTTTATTTATTAGAATATTCATTAGGAAATTTAAATATTCATTATACCTAATCAATGACTTAGGTGATGAGATCCGTTTCTAATGAATGAATACAAAATTATGTTTACTGTATATACATGAACATGAATATACATGTAAGTAGGTGATTTTAGTTTTTTTCCAGTATTTTACATGATAGGCATTATCAACAGATACAATTTTGAGTAATTGTCGATATACTTACCAGTATAGATGGTTAGACTGAAGAAATTTTATTTTAATCAAGGTAAATGGAGAAACACGGTAGATGTTGCTGTGAAGACCCTGAAGCCAGGGGCAATGTCTGCTGAGGACTTCCTACAGGAAGCTAAACTGATGCACAAATTACGGCACCGTAAACTTGTACAGCTGTTGGCAGTGTGTACAACTACTGAACCTATCCTTATCATCACCGAGCTGATGGTCAACGGGGCTCTCCTGGATTATCTCCGCAAGGACGAGGGGAGGTCACTCAAGTTTGTCGTCTTAGTGGACATGGCATCACAGGTAACGTATCATTTTTTTATGTACTGCATAAATATGAGGCATTTTTGTATATGTTCTAACTGTATGTTCCCCATTCACGGGGTCACATTATGACTCTTTAAAAAAAATTCTTGCTCACAAAACAGAGAATTGCATTTGATTTGTGACTTACTTTGCTTGCTTAATAATGTCAGCAAAATATTGGTTTGGAAGGTGTTAATTGATTCCTATAAAAATTAATGTTTATTTTTATGCATTGTTACAACGCGAAATGTAATAACAACGCGAAATGTAATAAACCCGTTATTATTTTGACGAAATATTTAATCAAGAATGTAATAACGCAAAATGTAATGACACGATTTTTAGATTATTACATTTTGGGTTATTACATTTTGTGTTGATCTTGACGCAAAATGTAATAACGTGCTTTTTCCTTGTTACATTTTGCGTTATTTTATTTTTGCACTGAAGACAACGCAAAATGTAATAACACAATATGTAATAAACAAAATATAATAATTATTTTTTTGATTGCGTTTAACAAAAAAGATCATGAAATTGATTCAAATTGATTTTTGATAGTCTTATTTAATTTCCAACCAATAACACATATCTGATTCCAAAGATTGACCATAAGTTCATTTAAATGTTAACAAATTAGAAGTTTCTGTGTGTGTCACGCAAGGAGGTGCAGGGATGGGGTGAAATGTTTACTTCGTATGTTTATTATTACATTGCTGTGGACATGCAAATTACAATCCATTTTATTATAAGATGGAAAGAAAGAGAGAAAAAGAATTTTGTTTTTGCTTGTCTGCAATGCTGGAGATTTGCATGGAACAGTATGGAATCATTATTGTCAATAAACCCCTCCCCGCTATATTTACTCCTGACAGTACAAATGAATAGTTTTTTTAAGATTCATTGCATTTGTCTAAAAAAAGGGGGAAAGCACTTTGGACAATACCCTCAACAAACCTGCCCACAGATGTACATTTCTAATTTGCAACACCTATAATTTGAATACATTTATTAAACTGATTTTAAATACATGTAGCTAATTAAATCAATAAATGATAAAATTTATTAATTGTAAGAAACTGCATATATCTTTTTTCCCCTGTTGTATTATTTTCTTTTGATCGGCCACTACACTATTGAAAATTGTACTCAATCTGGCTGACGAAAAAAATGTAATACATTTTGCGTTCCTGCCTTTTGCTCAATCTTGACGCAAAATGTAATAACGCAAAATGTAATAATCAAAAAATCGTGTTATTACATTTTGCATTGAACGCGACGCAAAATGTTATAATCCCCAAAAGTGTGTTGTTACATTTTGCGTTATTACATTCTGCTTGGAAGGTGTAATTACGCAATATGTAATAATCCAGGTTTATTACATTTTGCGTTGTTATTACATTTCGCGTTGTAACAATGCATCAAAACTTTCCTGAGGGTGAAATTGAGCGTTTGATTTTAATATTTTGAAATTTATGTTAACAGATTGCTGATGGAATGGCCTATTTGGAAAATGAAAATTTTGTCCATCGAGATTTACGAGCTGCCAATATCCTAGTAGGAGAAAACAACGATGTCAAGGTCGCAGACTTTGGTCTGGCTAGGTTGATTCAGGAAGATATATATGAAGCACATGAACGTAAGCCGTTTCTAAAAATAATTCTCTGTTTAATTTTTATGGAAGGCAACATTGTATGTCATAAAAAGTATTTAGTATTTGTAATTGATAAGATATAAATATACTTGCATATTGAATGAAATTTTGAAAGTTGTGTGGGAAAAAAATGCAGAAAATGTTAACGTCTCACAGTTTAAGGATAACGATACACTTTTCTTTAAATTTTCATGTAGTTTTATCAGTCATTGACCCAAAATTTCAAACTACTACTACTGGTACATGTATATTAATGGATATCATTGGGAAATGGATTTAGTCAAGTTTTCATGTAAAGTTGGTCTGGAATTTTGTGTTTTTTGTTAAATTATTCACCCACAGAGCACAAACCATGAGGACAAATTTGAGAAAATATTTGGCATGCTTATTCCACATAGCTAAATTATAGTGTACATTGTAATTTAAAGGTCAAGATGTTAGAGCCCATCATGCTACATGTATATCACACAGTTTCACAATACACTGAATTTTTTTATTTCAGACACAAAATTCCCCATCAAGTGGACATCACCTGAAGCTGCCTTTGACCGTAAATTTAGCATCAAATCTGATGTCTGGTCGTTTGGTGTTCTTCTTTATGAATTAATCACTTTTGGAAGAGTTCCATATCCAGGTATAAATCACACCATTGGTATTTTTCTTGAAATGTCATTATTCCAGTGTTATGTAGTTTTCTTGAAATACAGTATCAGTATTATTCGTTAGGTGAAGACTTTAAAATCTAAGTGTACAAAAAGGTTAAGACCATTGTATTTTTATGGAGGAAAAATTAAAACCTTTTTGAGGGGAGGAAAGGTGACTGAGAAATTTTAAATTTTGACAGGTATGAATGGACATGAAGTTTTGAGCAAGGTGGAGAAGGGATACAGGATGCCTAAACCCACGGGGGGAACTGTACCCTGTCCAGATCCGTATTATGACATCATGCTTCAGTGCTGGAAGAGAAATGCCGATTCCAGGCCTACGTTTGAATATTTACGAGACTTCTTTGACAACTATTTTGTGAGCTCGGAGGGCCAGTATTCTGGCGAGCCAATGGGTTGATGATAAAACAAATCGTATGACTCTCTCTCCTTGGAAATTCCTAGTGATTTCTAATGCAATTTGGATCATTACATTAACTTTATCTCAAAACATTCCAGAATTATTGATTTGTTAGAGGGTTTTTTTCTTATGTCTTCAGAGTAAGTATTTTTCAATTTTTCATTCAATCAGGAAACACACTAAAAAGGCTCAAGTAAAGTTAAATTCATAATCAGATCTCCATTATCAACTATATTTCAGATTCTTTTGAGATATCAAAACAATTGTTATACATGTATCTACAACACTGTGCTTGGTCACAGAACTATTTTTTATACGTATTTTGATATAAAAGTTTTGTACATACAGTTCCTGCAAACAAACTTGTGAAGTCCATTTTTTTGAGTGTTTGAAATGCTGTACAGAAGTAGATTATTTAGATTAGCTATGTTATCACGTTCTGAATCAATTTGTACATAGTACAAGCAAGCCTGTATGAATTGCCACTTATATTTCCCTCATATATTTATTAACTTGTGCCTTATTGCCTTTTTAAAGTCCTTTTGAAAAACTTGAGATTTTTAAAAATAATATCTTCCTTTTACCCCCATTCCTTGTGATAATAAGTTACAACACAATAAGCTTTATTTTGATTTATTATATTATTTTATCAAATTGTATCAAATTGTTCAAGTACAATAATTATTCTTTCCAAAGTAAGTTGATGTTATTTAACATTGATTTTTCTGAGAAATAAAAATGTTTATGAAACCTATCATTGAACAAATTTCTACGCAGAAAATACTACAAGATAATAGTGCTTGATCTCTATGGGTGAAGTAAAACCTCATTAAACCAGGATATACATGTATTTCACTCCATGTCCATCATAAAAATACTTCAGTGAAATGACAATCAAAAGGGCACATTCCCGGTAAATATCCTTTGTCAAACACATTCCACTATCAATTAAATCATGTCTGAAATTATGATTCGTTTCCAATAATATTACGTAGAAGTTTGATTTAATGTATCCAGTCTTTCTGATTTCAACTGAACAAATCTGTATACATTCCTTTTTCAGTGTAAATCTTCTGGAAAATATTTTTATGACAGATGCTTGTGTTGTGAATCATATTCAAGTTATTTTGTACAGATTTTTTAATACATATTGCTACATTATTTTAATAAACTATATGTAAACACTCCATGATTTCTTTTAATTTTTGTGTAGCATACATAGTCTAGAATACATTTGTTTGTAAAACAAGGCAGAGTCTTTACAAATGTGTGCAGTCCAATCATATTCAAGAAAAGATGTGTCATGAAAGTTTGGGTGAGGATGGCATTGGGGTTATTAAGGACTTCATTTACTCCACCCCTGAGGGTCAATTGCAAGTCACAAGAAACCCCAAGAAAACATACATGTATTGCAATGTGTCTTATTAGCCTATTTGTCTGGAAATGGGCTGAACTGAAATATTAATATTGTATACAAGCAGGGATAATATGTATCACATTTTTTTTACTCTGGAAAAAACAGTCTACATGTGTTGTTATACAACTGTTCTGCCAGTTCTCCAATGTCTGTTTGTCTCGCTGCACTCATCACCTCCAAAACTTGTCTAAAACGAAAATAACATTGTAGCGTCTGAAACATCTACATTCTTTTTCTCATATTCACTTACTGTAGAAGTACTTTTTTCTGAGTGGTATTAATTTATGCTATGTACGCTGTCACAAATAATCCGCAGAAGTTTATCCAAGCATACTAATTATTACTTAATATAAATGTAAGGCATATAGTGACAGTCTAGAAAATCCGTGTTATTTTCTACCCGCAGATTAAACAGAAATTGAGATTCCACCGAATTATGACCCTGTGGAATAAAGTACGTCTACAGTATCTGAACAGAATTCACAAACATTTAAAGAATTATTTTTCTGTATTATAAAAAGGTGTGTTAATTAAATGCTTATTGGTTTGACTGAGGTGTTCACTCACATTATGAGTGCAGGTTCATTTCTGCTTTTGACACACATTCCTTTCTCCCATTTTTCCTTTTTCCTTGTTGGGAAAGTGGTTTTGATATGTTTAAATCCAGCATGGGTTGGGCGGATTTCACACCAAGGAGCATCTGTTCAAAGGAAGTGCATGAAAGCATTAAGACATAATTATGTACCCTTCAGCATATGTAAGCTTTTATTTTATCTATACATGTATCACTTTTAGTTTTCAAAAAAAAAGGTTTTGAAAATGCAAGTTTTATTTACGTTCAGGACACAACTTTTGTGAATTTTTTAAATGCACAAAGAGGAAGGATGTAAACTAGAACACTTCCCTCGAGTGACCTTGCATGAACTTGAGTTACACGTTTGTACACAAAGTTTTTTTGTTACTTATTATATAACATTGAATGTTCTGACACACCATATTGTGTATATTATAAAGAACACAAATTCTTTCATTTGGAACACAAATTTAGTGATGAGGCTTTCTCCTTAAAAAGAAATTACTTATTCTAATAATTTAACATTTACTCCACTTGAATACAGAATAGTCTTTATAGTATCCTACTTAAATACTTGAGTTTTTAATTAAGTACTAAGATTTTGGTAAAATAACAAGTCTTGCTTGCAAGACTTTCAACTGAAAAGCTACAAAAACAACACTTACCGGTTTCTATCATTAATCTTTCAGAAGGTATTGAACACATTGCATCTATATTTTCCTGAGTTTTCAAAGAGCTGTCAGAGATAAAAATGAAAGTTTAAATATAGATGTAAAGTTTTCTATCTACATTTGCTGTTTTTGAATTGAAACAGGCAATCTTAAGCATGTTTCCCTAGTCTGCAATATGATGGACTTGATTCTGTGTAACCCACTAACCATCCATTGATTCCTATGTATAAGTCCTGTTCTACAATCTCCCTAGCCTCCGCTACTGTTCCCGTGAAGGAGTGAACCTGTAATGACGTTACAGAGAACATACAATCTATATGATGTGTGGTGAACCAACTACTGAAAAATCACTTTTTACTCATGAGAACTTAATTTTTTTTTTGCATAATTATACAAGACAGTCTGCTAATGAAAGTTAAGTTTCTAACTCATTTACTGTAGACATACTTTTTTCCACAGGTCATAATTCTGCGGAATCTCAATTTCTGTTTAATCCGCAGATTGAAAATTACGCAGATTTCTCAGACTGTCACTACCAGGTATATGCCTTTCATTTATATTAAGTACGCTTAGACAAATTTCCGTGGAAAATTTGAGACCGCGTACATAGCATAAATTAATACCACGCGGAAAAAAAGTACTTCTACTTTATATATATTTATTTATATAGGCTAGATAATTAATAACCAGCATTCAAAAAAAAAATGTTGTACCTCTTATATGCCTATCATGTAAAAATAGGTGTCACAGAAATTTGATCTACAATATTTTTTAGGTCAATTTTTATTTGTGATTTGTCACTTGAGAATCAATTAACAACTATGAATGTTCCCAAATGAGGAAATATTGTACATATTAAATATATAGCTTAATAAATGGTTTGTATCAACAAATATTCACAAGTAGATGCTTTATTCAATAATTCGTTTGCCTTATTTGAGTCTTGTTTTCTGTCTCCCACAAAAGTTTCTTTGTGACTTCTCTTTTAATACATAAACTATTGTAACGGGAGAGGAGAAAAATGCAGCCGACCAGACCAGGATTCAAACCCAGGCCCCCTGAATCTCCGGTCAGGTGCTCTACCAACTGAGCCATCTGGCCACCGGTGATCAAACCCGGCTGACCGCCACACTATTAACCGCTCCTTCTGACATTCTATCTCTGTTACATCTTTGTCACTTCCTTTTCCGTATTACCTTACCACACCTCCCGATATTCTATCTCTGTAATGTCTTTCTGACTTCTCTTTTACTATAGACTTACCACCCCTCCTGACATTTTATCTCGGTTACGTTTGATGATATCTATGAAATCTGTGTGACAGTTGCGACTGTGAAGAAACAAGGGCAGCTTGGTTGTTTCTGCAAGGTCCATCTGTTTCTCAAAATATCTATAAAAATTTTTCAAGTCATGTTTTATTGATTTAAAATAGAATTATACAATGCCTTTAAAAACTGCCTTTATTTATCACAATGGTCTGAAAAAAAGTAAAAATGAATCTTACTTTAGTTGAATTTCTTTTGGGCAGAAATGGAGACGATCATAGTCTGAAATGATTATGAATACTGTTTTAAAATAAATCATTTGTAAATACAAAACATGGTCCGGACATTTGCGGTATTGCTATAAATTCATGATTATGCCAACCACTCCATACATAGTGACTCAGCTAAATTTTGAATTTGCAATTTATGTACATGTACTGTCATCGTCGCAAACCACGACCAAAATGTACGATCCTCTCCCATTCTGGTCGTAGTTGAATGAGAAGAGAATTTCTCGTAGTTCATTAAAATATTGACCAATGCAAGTAAAGTATAGTCGGATAATGAACTTTGATGTGATCTTTCAATATTCAATAGCAGTGTACAAAATATTTCTTGTATACTGCTGATGTAAATTGTTGATTTCAATTGCGATGGAAACAATACTTGTCATTGACTGAATATGACGTCACAATTGCGAGGCATGAATATTCAAGATTGCGACACTTTTTGTGATCAAGCAGCCATGGGTAGGAGAGAGCTATATGCAGACTCCGGACCATGGCTTGAGACAATGATGTACAGTATACAAAACATTTTCCATCATTTTGTTTATAAACCTAACCTGACAGTATTCTTTGAATTCCTTTGTTCGTTACTTACCCAGCCCACACTCTCCTACAGCCACCACTTTGTCTTTGTTTGTGAGCGTCAGATCCAGCAAACTCTGTAGATATTTCTCAGGGTCATTCTTGGTAAACTCCTGGCATCGAGTTGGGTGGCAGCCCACAGTGCAATAAAACATATCTGTAACCAAAAAATAAACCTACATATATTTTCAGACCAGTATTTTACAGATTATTATAAATATTTATTTGAAAGGAAAGAATGCATTTAAAAAATAAATTGATCTTTGTGCTTTTATAATGTGTACCGATAGTATCACATTCCTAAAGAATATTTAGATCGTCTTTGATCCTCATTTTAGCTCTTAAACTCTCTCAACACTGACTAATCAGTTTCAGATTGAAGGTAATGTACAAATTATCATATTCTTGAATCAATTAACCTCCTTTCTGGCTTTCAGTAAAAATATATTAAATATTTCAAAATTTTACATTTGCAATCAAGCATTTTTTTCTGGATTGTTGGAGACAAATGGATCGAGTTACAATATTTAAATGATGAGCTGAAAGACTTTGATATTACCTTTTCATTTATATTTGTTTTGAAATCCTTACCATTTGTCTTAGCAAGTTCTAAAGCCTCTTTACATTCCTCAAGGTAGCCTCCTGTTATCATCATCTGTTTCAACAAATAAATGATTTACATAGACAAGTAGTTAAATAGCAACTTACATGTCCAATATAAGAATTTTACATAATTTTGTTACCTTTGACATACCAACATCTTTGGCTCTTGTCACCACATCATCAAAATCATCTGTAAAGAATTTCAACACTTATTTTATTAAAATCTCTGAGGTTCACAATAATTATGAAATTCAAAATCATTGTATCCATAATTTTCTCCTCGTCATTAGGTATTCAGCATGTAATGCATGATCATGAATATATATCATACCTTGATGTTTTTTGGAATTATGATAGACACCTCTGAACATGGGGTCTGTAATAACAAGTATTTAGAACAATGAAACGTTAATGATCATCTTTTCAAATGTTTTATTGTTAGACATCCTCAAAATGTCAGAAATTCTGAGTTTACTCATGATCCTGTGAGCCCTGACAATCTTCATTTAATGTATATATTATTGTAAAATTTTGTAAATGTTGTATGGCTATTGAGATATTATGTATGGGAGAGGACTATCTAAGTTGCTAGAACTTGTGTCCGATCCCTTTGACATATTGTCAATAAAATATGTTCAAAACAATCTTCATTCTTTTTTTTAAAGGGGGGGGGGGAAGTCTTTCATTCCAAAGCACCAAGTGAATGTTGACTTAAAATGTAAACAGGAAGAAGCAGTTGACACATTAATGCATGTGCTGCACCAGAAGTCTTAAAGTGATTGGTCATTTAGAGATAAAAAAAACAACCAGGAGTTTTAATTTTGGTCGGCCTGTAAAGCACTGAATGAAGTTTGTCATTGATCCCATGGCCACAAGTGGAATCGGGATCTCTGACATTGTGATTTGTGAGGTTGTGAGGATGATAATTATAGTTTTGTGGTAATTATAGAATAGAATAGAATAGAATAGAATAGAATAGAATTTATTACCAATCAGGGCCCATTAGGCATAAACATATAACATATATAATTACATATAAACATAATATTAAAGTAATAGACAGAATACAACATGTGGTGAAGAGCAATTCTTCTATTAAGTATATATATATACTGATATATATGTTGGTGGCAATTTAAGTTTCATATACAGACATACATGATGGTTTGTTGTACAAAAAAAGTGTGCATAAGTATTATTCATGATATACATATATATGTAAATATATACATATCAAAATGCATAAAACTATGTTTGAAACATCAACAGGAGGCAGCAAGAGTCGGTGCTAAAGGATATACAGAATTCCACTTCTGCCTCATGTAGAATAAACAGACATAAAATTTATGGAGATAAACATATATTATATAAATAAATTATACATTGACACATGTGTTAATTAAACTAAACTACAATGGACAGCAAGAGTCAGTGCTGAAGGATAGTATATTGTTATTATACATGTATTAAAGTTATCCACTTCTGTCCAATGTAGAGTATATAATACAACACAAATATCAACAACACCTTTACATAGTGTAGCATAATTATCCAACCAAGGTACTTCAAATGATTTTGAATTTGTCGAACTATACATGACTTATGAATTCACACAATTTGAACAGCACATCAACATCTTCACAGTTCATTAACCATAAAAATTGGTTATTTTTTGACAAGCTATTAAAAAGATGACACCTCATAGATATCATGGATAGTAAATTTATTCTTGATTGACTATGGCATGGACAACTTAAAAGAAAATGTACTTCATCTTCTATCTCTTCTATTTTACAATTGGGGCATATTCTCTCTTCTCTTGGAATACCGTAATGTCTACCTTTTTCAATCATCAGATTGTGAGAAGATATTCTAAATTTTGTTAGAATCTTTCTTTTTTCAAACTTTCTTAAAATTAATAAATAAGGTTCTAGCCCAAAGTTCTGTTTAATTGTGCAATAGGTGTCCAATTTCCCACAATTACTTAATTCTTCCTTCTTTTGATACCATTTTTCAAGAAAAGATGAATTTAGAATGCATTTACAATGATATTTAAATGTTGATGTAGATGATTTCAGATGAGGTGTTAACTGAGGAAGAAGTTGTTTAAACATATCAATAGAACCAAACCATGATAAATTGTTTTTATTGAAATTGGATACCGAGGTAATTATATAAAAGCTTGTCCCGAGATGCAGTTAGATTACTCTAATTAATAAAACACCAGAGAGAGAGAGAGAGAGAGAGAGAGAGAGAGATTATGGTTATTGATATGAAAACACTCACCTGTCAAATTCACACCTATATCTAAATAGATAATTACAAAGGAATTAAATAATAATTTCAAGAATTTTCATACAATGTGAATTCAAATAGAAATTTGAACATTATCTTTCCCTTTTAAAAGATAAAACGATTGATTCGTGCGAATTTCTTTGTTGATACCCTTGACAAAAAGGCTACATGAATTCCTTACCAATAAACTTGTGAAGCGTATTCCTAACATTCCCTGCAAGAGCCATATTAAATATATTTCAAATTTCAATGTTTACAACATGTGTCAAACTCCATTTTTAATGTCGGGATCGAATTTTTCATAGAATATTGAACTCGATGTATATAATCTATTTCAATATTATTTCGTTTATTTCATTTTATAGTCTGTATATTTTTTAAGAATGAATTCATTTATCATTAAATGAACTCTTTTATTTTACAAAGAGTGTAGAAGATGAAAGAAAAAAAAAAGAAAAAATACTGTACGAGTTATTTAGTAATCGAAGATCTGTGACGTCACGCTTGAGCGGCGAATTTAATCAACGCAGATGGTTGATAATCTTTGAGCGTCGTTTGAGCCAAAAGAAATGAAATTGAACTCAAACGATGGGGCTCGGAGGAAACTCCAGTTTGCTCCATCGTCACAGACAACGTACTATCTTGATATTTCTTCCGATAAAGTGAAAGCAAAAGCTGTACAGAGAATTTTGTTGTTGCATGGAAAAATCGAGGAGTTTTTGTCAAAAGATGTGAGTTTGGTGCTTACAGATAAAAATAACATTGCCAAAGAAGAAATCCCAGCCTCAGACGTTACACAAAAACAGCTGCTTCCATTTAGTAGAGGTAAATGTAAATCAAGCACTAGTCTTTCTCATTGTTAACTAAAATTCATGAAAAATAATATTGGCTAGTAGGCCTATTTAAATTCATTTTAATTTTTTTTATGTGCCTATTTATCCATCCTTGGTCATTTTGTGTTAATTTATATTGATGTTTTGTGTAATCTCTATATGACTGGGAAATATACAAAAATCAATTTTGCAAAATAACTTATTTGCACACAGGTAAAGGCATCTTTGAAATAAGTATGGAATATCGATCTATATTTCTTTTCATTGCAGGAAAAGCTCTTTTACTTAAGGCTGCAAAGCGTAAAAGTCTTCCAAATGATCCAGTGCAGAATGCACATATGCTTGGTGTAGAAATTCAGAAAGTCACAAAATTTTTGAAGGACACAGAATGCATTCATTCAAAAGAGAAGAAAAGTCGTAACAAGACAGGGATGTTGGATGGAATAGAACCCCTGACTTGGGCAGAAAAAGAGAATTATCCAATTGTGAAATGTGAAGACATTTTTAAAAATTACAGGCCTCTCATTAAAAACTTGGATGTCTTTCCACAAGTCAAATATGATCCTGACTTAGCATCTCCCTTTGATAAAAATGCTATGTTATTTCGGAAGTCAAAAGAAAATGTCAACCGTTATGCTGTTCAGAAACAGACTTTACCCGTTTCCAACAGAGGGGGTTTCTGTGAAGCATGTGACCACTGGTACAAATGCTCACTGCGACAGCACTTAAACAGCGAAAGACATTTGAAATTCGTCAGAGATATCACCAATTACAAGGTACTAGATGAAATTATGCTGAAATTGCCATCCTTAGAGACATTTGCAAAGAAGTTCAATCTTGGTGATAAAACACATGAAAATGAAACAATAGAAGAACCACATCAAGAAGGATATCAAGCATCAGTGCCTGCTCAAGAGGAGGGAGAGCAGGATAGGACAGAATCTGGTGAATTTTTCACTAGCTGTACTGACCAGGACACCATCACAAAAACTGCAGTCAGTTTCTACAAAGAAAATAAAACTGATTGCATTGACAAACAGGAATGTGAAAATAACACTGAATATCTAGACTTACCAAGAGGAGACTTACAAAATCAAGAAATGAAAGATGTACAGGAAGAAAGTAATGTAACAACTTCACATAAACATAAAGACAATAAGCGTCAAGACATTCCTGATATGTACTTCAGTCCCATCCACTCCCCAAGCTATGCACCAGATAATCTTAGTTTTGCAGACCTGGCACACCGCTGGATGGCAGACATCAAATCAGCATGTGTAAATGCTAATAAGGACTCCCATTCATTTATCCCTGATAAAAACACCAAAATTCAGCCCTCTGATCCACATCAACTCACCACTGAGCCAATCTGTAAACCAACATCCTCAGTAAGGGATTCCAAGTCCATATCAAGCACAGACTGTGATAAGAATCAACAGATAGTGACTGTGTCTCCTAAGGATTCTGCCTCCTGTCTCACATCTTCCGATACAAATCCTGTGTCAAATAATGTAACAGATTCCTCAGACAATTATGTGTCACATGCAGCTAATGCCAACTTGGTAGCAACTAAGTCAGAAACTCCCCAGCCAGTCGTCCAAACTAAGGTTCCAGTCAACAGAAGGCTGACATATTCCCCTTGTGTAAGTAAAGCTGACAATAATAGTGACGAGTCCCTCAGAGACTTTCTGGAAAACAAAGAGAACCAACCAAATGTGCATCAAAAAGAACAGGGCCAGGAACCAGTTCAACAACCAATCAAAATCAAGATCAACTTAAACAGTCTGAAGGTCAACCCTAATGTCCATTTGGTCAAGTCTCACAGAAAACGCTCCAGGGGCAGTTCCTTGTCTAATGTGTACTGCGCTGTTCAACAAAGTGACATGAAACTTAAACTGTGCAAGGTCAAGGTCACTCCTGTCCAACAGAACGGAGATCTTCGACATTACTGGAAGGTGCGTAAATCTGGAGGTTGTCGTCTTGTATTCAGTTCAGAGAAAAGAAAAGCTAGTGAGGAGGTGGATAATGTAGCATCGAAACGAAAACGCTTTGAGGTGCAATAATAATGTGTCTATTCTGTAAATAGTTTGTGATGTTTTGACTAGATCAATAGTCAAACCTGAAATGTTTTATTTTAGGCTTTTTACTTGCCTTCATAGAATGTCAATGAAATTGCTTGTGTTTAATATAAAGATACATACACGTATTTAGCTCACCTGAGTCAAAGGCTCAAGTGAGCATTTCTGATCAGAATTTGTCCATTGTAACAGTTGATGTTAATTTCAACTAGATATGGCATGAACTACCCTTGAGTAAAGAAAATTAATTTTTTTCTGATGAAGGGCCACCCCCCTTTTCCGCTGACTCCCAAGGAAAGATAATTAAGAAATAGTGAAAATTGTGTAGATATGAAAGCTTCTTGATAGAAAGTACATTAAAGTTTGTTCAAGGGTTAGAATCTTGTTAATATGTGTGATTGAAGTTTTACATGGGAATATACAAGAAAAAATATTTTAAAATCTTCTCTAGAGCAGCAAAGCCATGGAGAGTCAGATTTTATATATAAGCATCCTCAGGGGTGGGCTACATAATATCTTGGGAAACAAATCTTCTGCTGAAGAATGAAGTGCCATTACTTAGGCAAATGTTTAAGGTTCAATTGGATTCCCTTTGAAACACTGAAAATTTTTAATTTATGCTGTAAATTCTTTTTTCTCAAAATATTTCTGAATGATATCCACCAGTTTTTTTTTGTATTTATAAAGTGCAATAACTTGCAGTATACATGAAATACTGCACAATTTACAGACTGAGATTATTGATTAGAATGTTATCTTTATGTGATTGTCCATTTCTTGTCTTGTTTACTGTGTATGCTTAAATTGATTTTTATGTGACACGTATTTATTAATATTGATCAAGTATGATTTTGTTTTATCAATACATATCATGGATGCTAATATACTTTACTAGTTCTACAAGGCTATTTTTATTTAACAGTTTTAGTATAACATAAATCCAAGACATTTACAACATTTGATGTATATTCAGTACTTGTCTGGTCTGTGATTATTCAAGTCACTAGATTCACACAGTAAATACTTTACTGTCTCGTTACAATCTTGATTTTGTAGACACAGGTGTCACAAAATAAATGTCCTTTTCGGTTTCACTACAATCATGTTTCAGATCCATAATGGACTCCTATGTGTGACAGAAACATGACAGACATTTCAGTCATTTTTTTAAATGCAAAATATTCTGTAGTTTTTAAATGATCTCATTTCATTTTTACCAATCCATTGTTTTGCTTTTTTCTCTCCACCAAATGTCTTTCAGTTATTTTTTCATGAGGTACATGTACTTGAAACCATTTTACACACTGATTGTTAAAGAAGATTAAAAAAACTTCAACTTGTTTAATTTCAATTTGGTTGTGTTGTCCTGATTTTAAAATTCAAATAAACCAATGTGATTTTTAAAAGAAAGCCATGAAAATAAAATTGTCGAATTTTATTCTTGGTTATTGGTCTTTATGTAACAAAATAAAGAACTCTGTTAGCCTGAACAAGGGCATGTCTCTGGATGTAGGGACAGCTATGTTCATCATTCTTTACCATTTAATAGTTGCAATGCTATACAGTCGCAAATGTGTCATGAACAGTCACTAACAATATATGTTCATAATAGTTCATTGACAATGCAAACTTAAGCTTTACTGGTAAAGCTAGGTAAATTCTTGGCAAACTTTTCAAAATGTGTACTGTGCCACACTGGAGAACTTTTCAGATAGAATCATAAATTTTTGCGAAACGATCAATTCCCAGGAATTTGTTAATGTATTGGCTTGTTGAATCTACAAGCCACCATAATAAACAATCCAGGGGCATATACTGTGAAAACACTAATTTTCGTGGGGACAAATTTTCGAGATCTGAGGTAAAGTAATGGTTAGTGGGGATTTGATTTTATGGTGGGAAAATGTTTAGTAGTAATGCATATCAAAATTTACATTTTGTGGAGGTCATAAATTCACGAGTCTCTCCAGACCTAAAAAACAAATTAAACCCCACGAAAAAGTGATTTCTGTCTGTCTGTCTGCTTCTCCAATAAAACAAAAACCGTTTGACCTTGGAGGTTGACCTACATTTGAAAAACTTTTACCTTGGCCATAACTTGTGATTTGTTGGTGACAGCCTTTTATGTTCACAGGTACATTCCTTGTGACAAGACCTTTCTTTGGGTATCCTTGACCTTAGGGTCTGACTTTCATTTGAGAAACTAAACCTTTGTCATGAGCCATATATGGCATTACAACCAGGGAACATTTAAAAGCACAAGTAAAAATGATTGTTTTTATTTTATTCCGTTGTTTCTTTTCCCATGGATGAAAAACAAAATTTTAGTAAGATAGACAAGTTTTTTCCCTTGCCAAAAGTAAATCCCACAAAAAATGGTAAAGTCTAAAAATTATAGTCAGTAAGAAATATTCTGACAATTTACTTGAATAAAAAGGTCAACAGAAAAGATATACAAGTATATGTATATAGATATACCAAACATGTGATTTAAAATGGACAGATACATTAACAATTATGCAGCAGTCTGTATAGTAATTTGAGCCTTCTTTTTCCTCAAGCATGCATGAAAAATAAAACAACACCTTTAAAGGAAAGATAAGTTTTTAATACATGTATTAATCAGAGAATGCTTTGTTATCACAGTCATTATGAGGTCTCCATTGGTTCTGGTATTTTGAGTTTCTGTTGTATGGAGCGCCCTCTATCTGTCAGATCTTTAGGAAGGTTCTGTAACTCTTCTGACAAATCAACAACCGACAACACGGAGGAGGGACTGGCTCCTATAGAGTCAAATAATGTGTAATGATGCAACTTGTTCATATAAGAGTTATCTTAATAATACTTTGATCATACATGTACAGATGATGATAAAAATAGTTTATAGTTAAATGTACAATGTATCTAAACCATTCACATTTTAACAAGAAAGTTTAATAAAATATTAATATTTCTCCTATAAGTAAGTGTTTTAGATTTTAAAAAAATGAAATGTTTTAACATTTTAGATCCTACTTTATAAAAACACTCTGTATTATTTAAGGACGTTCAATCCTGAGATTTTGGGCGTAATTTGGTCAGGTCCTTTATTTATAAAATTCTGCATCATTTTTAAGTTCTAACATTAAATCTGAATTCTACAGTGCAAATTTAACTATATTCAATGAAAAAACAGCGATTGCATTCCATTCAAGTAGAATTAAGATAGGGACTATATTTTGTGGCGGAAGGTTTTTTTAGATGAAAATGATCAGTTTTTCCATTTTGAACTATAACAGTACTGTTAATTTTGGATTCCTATTTTTCCATCCTGGTTGCACAAAAAGCTGTTTTTTGCAGTTAAATGTGTTATGCTGGTTCTGAAATATCTATTAAATTATTTCTTATGAATTTTATCAACAAAGTGTGACAAATATATATGTAGTAAATATATTCTGAAAATCCGGGGGAAAACTGAGCCAATTTTAACGTAAAAATTGACACTTTTTTAGTAATATCTGAAAATTTACATCATATACCCCCGCTTTTGATGTTCTTTTCTAAATATTCAAGATAAATTTGGCCTATTTGCTTAAAATCAGAAAAAGTTTAAGACTTAAAAATAAATTTCTTGCTTATTAAATTTTCAATGCCAGAAAAATCACTTGTTATTAGTGCAGAAAGGTCAAATAATTGATTATGGGACGCAATTTAAAACTTTTTCTTCCTCACAATTTTTAAATGTCTTTTTTAAACAAACTTGGGGTTCATTTTGTTTCATGCTTTAATTGGATAAAAATATTGGAGGGAAAATGTCAAAAATATAATTTTTAATTATGACAAAAATTTCAGTGCAAAAAGGTCATATTAAATGTACTGAAGCGTCAAAAGAAGCGTATTGACCCACATTTCTTGATTTGACTTTTAATTAAGCTATGTATGTAGAAACTAAAAATATACTTGGCAAAAAAAGTTTAAGACTTTAAATATCAGGATCGAACGTCGTTAAGGAATGAAGCCTATTTCAACTTCTGTTATACGATATAACATAACTTGAGGCAGTTTATGCTTTATAAACCACAAAGCAGTTTATAAAAAAGTGTAAACTGCCCCAAGTTATGTTGTATCGTATAACATAAGTTGAAATAAGCTTCATTCCTTATAATTTAATTTCAGTGTAGACAATAAGACAATTTTTCCGGAATTTTTCCTCCGGAAAATGACTTTAAATATAGCATATTTTAAAAGTAACGTCAAGCGGAGTAATACGTTTTTTGACGTAACTCATTGTGACATAGGCAAGTTATGTTATACAAAATGGATAAAATCTTCTATCCAATCAAATTACATGTTACAACTTGAATTGAATTATTTTCCAATAATCTTTGCTTTGCATGTTGTTAATGGCTCTTAAAATTAACTTTATGTTGTATATATATAATAAATCAATAAATTCTTACCAACACTTTCTATCTTTTTAATGAGTAATTCTACAATATCCAATGCCTGTGACCTTATTGCACTGTATTTCTTGTTGCCTGTAAAGAAATACAATCAAAGACAATTGAGCATCTCAAAAAATAACTTTTTTAATTGATGAACTATCCAAATTCATTATCTTCTATTAATTAAAATGCATATTTAGTGAAAATGTTTCTGCAAAACTTGAAATTAGTTACTTGCATACATCAAATGACATATATGAAGAAAATTTTGAAACAAAAGTGTACATTTTCCAAAGCAGTCTTACGTCAGTACCTGTATATGACAAAAGTACTAGGACAAATGTTGATCTTAGTACATATATAAGTAACATATTGTAATTACCGCAGGTACTGACCTATACATGGTTTGATGGCCTTCAGTATATCACAGATCTTTGTGTCCCTCTGTTCTCCCATGAACATGTCTTCAGAGTCAAATCTATAATACCTGAGTACCGAGAAGAAACAACTTAAGATTTGACCAAGCTGTATTCACAAATATGACACTCCTTGAAGACATTAGGTGGAGATTCATTAAAGTTAGTAGTTTACATCATGATTGAAAAGCACACTTATCACTTACAATTTTTTTTAAAGAGAGTACTGACCTTTCTATATATTTGTGTAGTGAACTAAGAATGATGAGCTGGACTTTCCATACATGTTGTGGTAAAGACTCGCACAACAGACAACAGAATGGAGAGGAAAATTCATCTGTAAATGTAGAAATACATTAATGCATTTTGTATTTCCCCCAGGCTATTAATCTGATTCAATGTTTTTTATGATTGTACCTTGTGTAGTGTGATCATATGGCCAGGCTTGTCCTAACACTTCATAATAACAAGGGATCTGTTGTTCTTTTTTCTTCTTTTCTTCCTCATCTTCTGCCTCTGACTAAAATATAAATAAACTATGACTGTAAACTAAACGTCTCTGATGAGATTGGCCTACTTGCCTGTAATACAGGTGTAATGAGGGACCACATGTCTTTAAATCTGTCCTCTTTATATTCCTCTAACAGATTCCCCATACACTGACCTACTTACCCAAAATACGTGTGTAATGAGGGCCCACATCTCCTTAAAACGGTCCTCTTTGTATTCCTCTAACAGATTCCCCATACACTTCATGGCCTCTACTTTATACTCAATGTTCTCCTTTTTACATTCCTTCATCACAGCATCCACCACCTGACAAAATTAATGATCAATGCAATTTATTGATTTTCATTTTCTTGATTATATTTGATCTATTAATTATATGTTAATGAATAATTGCTATCAATGATTTTGTTCCTTATAACTCACTACATTGTATTAGCAATTTCAAAAAAGAGAATTCTAACCTCAGTAATTGTTGGTTGTCCATCTACAGGGGCATTCTGTAAGGTCTCTCTATAAAATTGTTACAATTGGTTAAAAAAGCCTTTCCAGGTATTAAAAATAAAAAAAAAAAATTGTAAAAAAGTATTTAATCTTCACAATATACATACATACATGTATGTATTCAGATGTTAATTTCCTTCTGATAACTTAGTTGAAAAAAAAAATGTGAGCTTAAAACAGTTGATAATTTTATCAAATCACTTTTTTGTCAAAGACAAGAATTTATTTGGTTACATAGGAAAATAAATTTGTTATCTAAATCCAATCAGGGGTATAATGGGATTTACCCTGGGTTGTATTCCATACTCCCTGTGGCCTCAGATTTACACAGTAAACTTTTAAAGAGAATAGTTTACTATTCTGAGACCAGTTATCCTCATACCTGCAGTAAGTACAGACTGTATCAATAGCCTGTAGTAGAGCCTCCTTCCCTGTCCAGGTGCGCCCTGAGAGTCCGGCCAGAAGTGTTCTTAGTAGGTGCCCCAGGTGTGGGGGTCCCAGGCGGTCTTTAAGAGTGGAGGCCACGGAACTCATGGCCGCCGCTGCCTGGGCTTTAGTGGACCAGGACTGGGAGGTGATGGTGTCCCCCAACAGACTGACAATCTCCTCCAGATACAAACGAAGACCAGCCTCAGTACCTGTAATAATCTCAGGTATATATAACAGACTGACAATCTGATCTAGGTACAAAGACCAGCCTCAGTACCTGTAATAATCTCAGGTATATATAACAGACTGACAATCTGATCCAGGTACAAACAAAGATCAGCCTCAGTACCTGTAATAATCTCAAATACAGTGTATATGTGATAGACTGACAGACTTATGTAGACTGTTAAAGCTGCTAGATCCGATTCTAATCGCGAAAAAAATATATTCGTTTTTCTTCTTGAAAAATAATTGTCCATAAATTGTTTCAACTTTTGTCAAATTATATCCCTAAAGTCCTTTTCTTTTAAAAGATATCAAAATTCAAAAGTTAAAAGAATAATTTTTGTTAGGTCACACAAAAAATAATCCTATGTTGATATCGCGTGAAATCACCTTCGAAAAAATAAATTTATCGCTTACATGTTTATCTCATGAAGAACAAACCTGAGCATTTTTTCACAACAAAGTACTTATACATGTACCTGTACACAGACAATACTGTAGCCTTCGTTACTAAACTTCCTTAAAAAAATCTTTAAAAATATCTGATTTTCCTTTATTCTTTAAATATACACATTAATATAAAAATACAGGAACTTCTGTATGTCAGTAAGGTTTTTGATCTATGTTTTCCATGTAAGGATTGTTGTAGTAAACTACATGTATTAAATCAATCTTATAATTCATTTTTATACATTATCTATATAATGAACGAACTTTAATTGTGAAAGAAAATATGTGCCTGTTTCGGATTAAGCGGCTTTAAGTTTGCTAGCCATCTTCCCTGAAATGTGGTATAATGATATCTTTCACATAATGTGATATTGCATAGAATGTGGCATGGTGATATCTTCCACACATTGTGGTAGAGCAATATATTCAATACACTGTGATAAAGTGATATCTTCCACACAATGTGGTATATTGTTGTCATCCACCCAGTGTGGTATAGTGATATCTTTCATACATGTGGTAATGTGATATCTTCCACTCAAAGTAGTAAAGTGACATCTTCCACACAATGTGGTATAATAATGGTCTCTTCCACACAATGTGGTCAAGTGATATCTTCCACCCCATGTGGTAAAGTGATATCTTCCACCCAATGTGGTAAAGTGATATCGTCCACACATTGTGGTAAAGTGATATCTTCCACCCAATGTGGTAAAGTGATATCGTCCACACAATGTGGTATAGTGACATCTTCCCCACAGTGCGGTTTAATACCTTCCAATGTGGTATGGTGATATCTTCTACACATATAAGTATTGTGGTATCTTCCACACATTTAAGTATTGTGATATCTTCAACATGATTTTGTTAAGTGAAATCTTCCACATATCATGGATTAGTGATATTTTCCACACAATGTTGTAGAGTGATAGCTTCCATACAAAGTGGTATAGTGATATCTTCCACACATTCAGGTGTAATATTTACCTGGAGTAGCATCCAGCCAGACTTCCTCCCACACGGACGTCTTTTTCTCTGTCTTCTCTTTATCTTCAGCTTCTGTTTAATGAAGAAAAAACTCAATTTTACTTCAAGGCAACTTGAATGTTAAAGGTGTTTATTATAAATAAAAAAATGATTTCAAAGTCTCATAATGAACTATACAAATGTATTATGATTCCACAACAAAAAAAATCCTTTACATATTCCAAAGTTTCTTACAAAGCTTTATTTGTATATAAAACGGATTAACCTTTTTCATGCATGGCAAAGAAGGCCAGTGGTAGAGCCAGAGCAGCGTGTCTCTTCAGGATGTCAGGGTTGTACTGGGAGATGGCAGCCAAGGTCAGTCCACAGGCAGATCTCACCGAGTCCTCTAATAAAGAAAATAGAGCACATAAGTAAAATAACCTGGTTTTCTTTTGAAACCCTATTTTCATCTTGCTAAATTGCAACAAAAGCAAAGGGGTAAAAACGAAAAGAGAAAAAATCCCTGTACAGTAAACATGTTTAGCCAATAATGTCTAAAATGTATTCACAAATACAATGAACTACTGTAAACCAAGTATTATACGCGTGCGATAAATATCCGCGAGTTCCGCGAGTAACCTCTGCTCGCGGATATTTATCGTCGCGAACCAGTTGTTCATTATATTCCCATATCATGATTTATTTAGAGTTATTTGCCCTTTTTTCAATACCGATCCCGACGGTTCAACAAGTAATCACGGAAGAACTTTACTGTTAGTGTACAAGAAGCAGTTAAAATTTAATTACAAACATCCAGAAAAAATAAAAACGAATGGCAAATCTAAAACTATTTGTGTAAAAATGAATAAGATGTCAATAATAATTTCAGCTTGTGTTATTATTGTTCATTTATTGTTACAGACGAGTCAAATATATAGCATGGTTAATCACGGCTAATTATGACCCAGTCCTGCTCTGTCCAAACCATTTATAATAATTGCCCCTTGGCTATGTAGATCTTAGAAAGCGTCGATTACCCAATTAGTATGAGGCACTTTTACAATTGAGAGTTTTAAATCAATTTTAATCTCCTAGATTTTTTTTCCGATTTTCGTTTAAGCGTTGTGAAAATGCGTATGAAGTGTACTCATGGTAAACATTTTACCCATGCACTTTAGGGGCGGATATAAGATTTTAAATGGACGCAATGCATAGAATGTCTTGAATAATGCGTAAGCAGACCTCACGCTACCATTTTACCTAGTTTATGGGCGGATATAAAATTTTAATTTGATTCTAAAATACTCGTGGAAATAAAAAAATGTGACCACTCGTTCGCGGAAATAAATCGTCGCGGATTAGTTCTCTAGCGGTCAGTCGCGAATAAAAAATGACGCATATAATAATTGGTTTACAGTAGTTATCATTTCCAGAGACGTAAAATCAAATACATGTATGAATTTATTGGATGTAACAAAGTGTTAATTATAAATCAAAACTGTTTGTCCCTGCACTTTGTTGTAAGTGTATTTTACTGTATAAAGCACTCTACAGAAGTGTTAACAATTTGCTCAGAGAAGAACTGGGAATAATTTCTGTTCTCCTCTTACAGCTGTACAAACCTTCCTTCTCCAGATACCAGGTCTTCAGTCGACTGATCAGCTTCTCCACACTGCTGTCTTTAGCCACCTGTCAGGAGTCAAACATTTAACTCATTACTGTCTCTCATTAGGTAGAATGAAAATAAAACATTTTTTAGATGATGCATTCAATATAAAGAAGTTGACCTTGAGCATTTGACCTTTACTGACCTTCACTAATTGACCCAGTGCTGAGGAATAGGATTTCCTTATGGAGGCATTTCTGTCACTCAATCCAGATAAAAAGGCACTCATCAGCTTCCCTACAATCAGTATACAGTACAGAAACAGACCATTGTGTGATACAGACAATACAAACTAGGTTTAGAAAAATGATTCAGTTAACATTCTGAAAGAATAAAATTCAACATTTTTATAACCAAGAAAAGTAATTTCATAAATCCTAACAGTCCTAAGTTTGCTGTATTGTTCACAACTTGATATTATCACTGCAACTGATGACAAGACGTCGGCAGCTGTTTTTGACACGAGACTTTATATGTTTACTCAGCTATGACAGTCTTGCATTGGGCTGATATTGCATGGAGTAACTGTCCTGACTGTATGACTGAAACTGTGGCTGGGGCTCCCCTTTAAGAGGAGGGGGTATCAATTGTGATTCTACTTTTTATTTCGTTTTCTTGACCTACCTGCATGTGGAGCTAAGTCTAGTGGACAGTGATGGACAAGGGACACAACCAAACTGGAGCAGCCAGCCTGTAGAAAAAATATAAACAATATAATTATAATGAACCATCTTTCACTTATATATTCTTAAAATAACGATATTTATTATTGGTGTAAGTACCAAGCTCTTAATGAAGTTACCAACCTTTGTCCCAATACCAATACCACTCTTGATGAGATCAGTCAACCGTGGAACCAACTCAACCAAAACAGCACTGTCAACGTACTGTACACACTATATAGATAACAAACGGAGTTATCCTTAGCTTTACTGTTATCAACATACATATCGCACTTGGTCCACTTCTAGATACTTCATATACTGTATAAATGGAGCTCTCAACAATATTCAATTTCAAGATTTGAGAGTATGATCTATCTGATTTACTCTTAATACTTACATAGTTAACTGTCTCCATCATGGGGGACATCTTAGAAGCTGCAATACGAGCACTGTCCAGCTGTGCAATAAGAATTTTTCAATTAAATTTCTGTGTATAATATCTCCCCTAATTTTGACAAATCAAAAGAGTTCATTTTTCTGCTATAACAGTTTTATCTATGAAAACAATTTTAACAAAAATAATTTACACAGCTTGTTATAATCAACTATATGTACTGAAGGATCTTGGTAAAGATGATTATATGTCTTGACATTCACACGATTTGGTTTTTTTTTCTTTGGATTTTTTAAAAAAGAAACATTATAGATTTTTAAGACCAACCCTTTCCTGGGCCTCTTCACTTCCTGCAATTCTGAGACTGAAGTAGTTCATGACCTGTGGCTCCAAACCACTGACTGCCTCCAGAAGGGCAGTCACTAAGACAGCAATGTGGGGTTTCAACAGGGGGCCAGCATTTTTACTGATTTTTAACAATGTTGACAACCTGCAAAATGTTATTTTCTTACATAGAAAATCCTTCAACTTAAGTTTATTCTCTAAGCAATACATTACTATGTTGGTTCTTTTCAATTAGTATTTACTTTTGACCTTTGAACTTACCCAATGGCCCTGACCTCTGGAACAGGACTGTGTGTACTGACTTTCAACAAGCACGGCAGGACTAAACTTGTAGCCTTCTCTCCCATTTTGCCATAGTTTACATCACAGATCTTTATTGAGGCCTGTAAAAAGATAAATATACATGTACAAACAGTATACATAATCTCTAAAAAGAATTGCCTATAGTCAATTTCTCAATTCAATTTATCTATGGTTTTTACAATTTTCAATGTGCAATTCTCAAAAAAATGAATGTTGTATGCTTCACTCTAAAAAGCTTGGATCTTATTCTTCCATAACATAGCATATAGAAACTTAATTACCCAGTATTCATTTCTGAAATTTTTACAGTAACTTACTCGACTTAGAGAGCGACAAGCCAAATCAGCAGCATTTCTCACTGTCTCCTGAAAAACAAACTCAATTCATAAGATGCATGTAAATAAAGAATTAATAATCTGCAAGTAAGCAGAAATACTGCACATGCATCAATGCAAGTAAACCAATTTACATATATGTATATGACTTACAATCATTTAATTTGAGTCTCTTTATTCAATATGTTATAATCAATCTTTTTTTTTTACCTTGATGTCATCTCTGACTCGTAAACAAGTCTCCCACAATTCTGGGAGCTGATCCACCACATCGTCCAATGGTCTTCCTCGTAACAAATCATTCACGGCCAGGCAACTGATTAAAATTACATATTCATAAAACCTTTTATTGGAGAAGAATTCTTAATGTTTGCATATATTATGAAATGTACATTTTGCTGATGACATTTATTTTACCTTACATATATTAAGTCTAGTGCCTAACAATTTACAAAATGATAAACATTTAACTCAGAAGACTTAAGTCAGAAGATATTTACCTAGATTCCCGAACTCTCCACTGTGTACTCGTTAAATTCACCAGCAAATCCCTTAAAATCTCCTTCATATAGGTATCAACCTTATTAACAAGCAGAAATGTATCGATTATTTAATGGACAACATCAATATCTATCAAATTTTTTTTACATAGCTTTGCAACAGAATTTTTAGTATGATGCATCCTCACCATATTTTTGTTGTCTTTGACCAAGACTCTACATTAAGATACCCCCTTATCGTGTTTTTGTTGTCTTTGACCAAAGCTCTACATTAAGATACCCCCTTACCATGATTTTGTTGTCTTTGACCAAAGCTCTACATTAAGATACCCCCTTACCATGATTTTGTTGTCTTTGACCAAAGCTATACATTAAGATACCCCCTTACCATGATTTTGTTGTCTTTGACCACAGCTCTACATTAAGATACCCCCTTACCATGTTTTTGTTGTCTTTGACCAAGGCTCTACATTAAGATACCCCCTTACCATATTTTTGTTGTCTTTGACCAAGGCTCTACATTAAGATACCCCCTTACCGTATTTTTGTTGTCTTTGACCAGGGCGTTCCAGATGGAGCTCATGGCCTGTTGAATCTTGGGATTGGGATCAAACTGATATCGATACATCTTTGGGACTATCTGAGACAGGAAAGGCTGCAGCTGTTCTCCTGCCTGAGCCGCTATAGTGCTGAACCCGAATGCTGCACCCTACCACACAAAAAATATACAGTAAGACCAGGGCCGCAATAGTACTGAACCCAAATGCTGCACCCTAACACACAAAAAATATACAGTAAGACCTGGGCCGCAATAGTGCTGAACCCAAATGCTACACCCTACCACACACAAAAATATACAGTTAGAATCGGGGCTCTAAAGTACATGTACTGAACCCAAATGTCAGACCAGGGCCGCAATAGTACTGAACCCAAATGCTGCACCCTAACACACAAAAAATATACCGTAAGACTTAGTTACCTCAATAACTGATAACTCTCATACCAGGGATAGGTTGAAGTGTATGTTTTTATACTCTGTATCTTGACTCTTTTGATACATGTATATCTCAGTTTAATTATGGTCCCATTACGTTTGATATTACATAAAATGGTCATTTAACCTTTCTAGAATTCCACATTGCATTGTGATTGGCCAGATGCATGAATTTGTAGATTAGGTCTGGTTGGTTAAGATCATTAGCGATGGAGCAGAGTTCTCTGTAGGTCGATATTCCTCCACTAGAATGTAACAATAATACATTACATAGCAAATAACAATAAATCACAAAAATGTAACAATAATACATTGTTTGGATTCAATCATCAAAAAGTTATGTGTAAAACTTAAATACCCATCAGGAGTTTTCCCCAGGGTTCCCTCCTCAAACACCGCTGTGTCCCCAGTCACTTCCTTCTTAGAACTGAAAGTAATGCATATAACATCAGTAAAATGTTAAGATATCCTAGAAATGGCAATTGAAAAAAAAATAAAAATCTTTATTATGGCAAATGTCAAACTGAAACATTGACATTGGTCAATTCTGAAGCTTTGAACAACTGTGTGTTTTGCAGTCTCTTTTTATAAGATTTATAACCATCATACCTGTCTATTTCACTAATAATAGTGAATACTTTCTATAGTTTGATCACATCACAGATATTTATACTATGCATCTTCTTGTTCTTCTATGATACCCTGCCTAAGCTTCATCATACATTGTTTTTCTCTATTATAAACAGTCAGTTCTAGTGAGTCACTAACGCTGATTCCTAATCACTAGACACTGTACATAATCATGATAGAGTTGTTACTGATACCAACCTTTTACCCGTGGTCAATGTCTCCACAAGGTCGGCCACCAGAGAGTCTTTCTGTTGAGAACTAGAAATCTCATAGATCATCCCCAGACCCTTAGAGGCTATGTCCTGTGTTACATCTACATAAAAACAACATGTTTCATCATGGCTATAAATAAATCCATGTCTTGACAAACCTTAGAGTAACAAATGCTATACATTTCTCATCTAATTAGTTATCAATTCAGTGATGTCTTTAACAACATTATTACCATCATTCTCTGTCAGCATGCCCATGAATGCGGACTGGATGTTGCTGAGTTTATTTTGTACAACAGAGTGTTGTCCACACTTCTTTACCAGAGTTAGTAACCAGATACAGGCAGCCTAGGAATAAAATTATACCACAATCTTAATTAAATCTCATAAAATACTTATATTGTAATATACATGTACCATCTCAATAATTTCTTGAAAAATTTAACACCATGGCTATCTTTCAACTATTTTCAGTATACACAGTTTTTCTTGTGCCTTCCTCCTATATTTATACCCCCCGCTTGAAAAGCGGGAGGGTATATAGTAATCGTTAATTCCGTCCGTCTGTCCGTCCGTCCGTCTGTTACGCTTTGGGGTACCCATCTCTTATCCGCAACTCCTCTCATACCACTGAATGAAATTTGATGAAACTTTCACAGAATCTTTATTACATATTGGCATTGTGCTCCTCCTATTTCACTTTTTGATCTGACACATATTTTGGGTTTCCCTACCACAGCAAAACATGGACTTTGCAGTTATAACTATATGGAGGCGGGGGGTATCATTTAGTGAGCTCATCGCTCACAGCACCTCTAGTTCATATTGTGAAGACATTAAGTAGAAATAAATTCGTACTTTTCAAAGAAGTTTGAATTTTATAGTCATTTTAGTTTTTCCTGTTTTACCTGTCTAAGATGCGGATTAGAGCTGACAATAGATCTAGTCAGAATGAGATCAAGGTACCAACCCACATCATCCTCTACAGCACTGATGCTACTCTGTGTCAACAAAACCATAATATACTGTATTAAATGATAAGTAGAATTTCTTTTCCTGAATTCATCACATTTTTTTAGCACTCTTAAACAATAGATATATAATTTAACATTTACATTGTACATTAGTACTGATACAGTGTACAATAAGTTTACAATCACCAGAATTACCTGGTAGTCAGCCTCTGTCTGGGTCCACATGTCCCTAGCAGCAGGGGAGTTAACTCCCATAGCAGCAAACACCAAGGCCTCAGCTGTTGTCAAGTGGAGCTCTATCTGTTTGGGCTGAAAAAAAAATTATACTGGGAACATTAAAAAATAAAAGAAGTGAAGTTGAACTGACCATTTCCCATTTCATGCATGTCATGCAGTAACTGGAATAAAATGTGCTTTTTCTGCCCACCCAATGTGAAAAGCAGAAATTTACTGCATCATAGTATGAAAAGATTGATTGATTAATTATGTTGTTTTACATCCCATTTGGGAAATTTTTTCAATCACTGTTTCCCGGTAGAGGACTTCAAATTAAGATCTTGACTTGTCACTCAGTGTTATGGAGCAATGAGGGACACGGAACCTTAGTTTAAAGGTCACATCTAAAGGTCCCGAAACTTTCATTTCAAAGTGCTGAACGCTTGGCAAAGGAACAGTTGCTAATTCTTGCTACCTATTTTTTCAATCAACTTATGTAAGTCGCAGCTGGGGTTCAAACCCACAACCTTTAGAAATGATTGCTATAAGTTACCTGAAATGAATCCATCAAGTACTGCACAACTTTCCTTCTGAAAGGAAAGAGTTCATCTCCAACACACATCTGTCCCATGGTAAGGGCAGCACGCTCTTTTACCTAATTAAACAAAATAAACTTTGAAGCTTTTGTAGTTATAAAGTAACATATTTTTATAGTATACTTCATATGTAAATGCAAGCCAAGCAGACAAATAATATTCAATACATACTTTATTGTTTTGACTTGATGACTTGATGAGCTTCAGCAACATGTTCAGTATAGAGAGCTTGGTTACTTCCCCTTTGTCATCGTTTTCCTCGCCAGGTGGCAGTGGTAATGACATGTTCCTGCTGATTTCTCCCAAGGCCAGGCAGGCACTGGACACAAGGGTCACATTCAGCTCTGTAGCAGACTGAATGATGCTCACTACAGAAAACAAAATTCTAAATTATACCATAAAATCTCTTATAAAAAAAGTTATGGTGACCAATCCTGAATCAATTTATCTGACATCCTGGTACATTCATAGTGACTGACATTTGCTACAGACCTAGTTGTTTGATGGTGTCAACAACAACAGTGGTGATAGAGGAACTCATTTCTCCCTTTTTACTTCGAAGATAGCGTCCTATCAAGTAACCCTGGGCCAGAATGGATCCCTGTTGTACTTCAAAGTTCTACAATAGAAATGGCAAGGAATCAATTACACAGTAATGCTGATACAGCATTTAGGTCTTGCAGTGTTATTAGTTTTATAGAAATATAAGTTTTTATGAACCGTTTTAGACAGAATTCTTTGAATTTCATTGTGCTACTTTATAAAACAATGTACATGTACAATGTACCTGGTAATTATGTGTTTCCTCACTTAAATTAAAATTCTTAAGACTTGTGAAACTCAAATTCAAACTTCATATTAAAATATACATGTAAATAAATGTACTATAAAACTACCTTATCTGACATTCTGGTCAGAAAGTCTTTGAGTGTTTCCAGGACATCTGTCTCTGGTTGACAACATGTGACGACTACCAACATCTGACTGGCGTAACTCTTCAGATCTTCTCGTGAAGAAAACACGTAGCTCTGCAACATAAGTCGAAGAGTTTAAAATTTTCAATCTATCGTTAGTCCTTATTATTCTCATTATAAGCAGTTTATATCTGAAGCAGGAAATAAGATATCTGACTAAAGGATCATTTATTGTGACTAGTTTTAGCAAATTAAGTAAGGAATTTATTTTCCACAGACCTTTATCCAGTTGAGCTGTGAGACAAATCTTGGAGCCAAAAGTTCTGATGCAACTGCCACCAGTTCCAATAGACAAAACATTGACACTGGACCTATGTAAACAAAGTAGACAGATTATTGGTTACTATATATACATCAGCTAGCCCCTGATATATAAATAATACCACTACACAGAGGAGTTACCTCCCACTGCACTGAGGAGTCTCTTTATGAAGTTGAGGTACAGTATGACGGGGGCGCTCTCACTCGAGTCCTTCTGTAGGAGCTGTCCCACGTATAGCGCCACCTGGGGGGACGTCTCCTGCATAGAGGAGAGAGAATCTGTGTCACAGGAAATCCCCCCGCCATGGACGAGGCACAGACGTAGATACAAAATCATCTAAAAATAGACACAATGAATGTACAGGTCAAGAATATACATGTACAGTATAATTTGTCCAAACCAGCTACTGTCGGTTCCATAAAATTTGGCCGGTGTAGACAGAATCCAGAGTGCAGGAAAAATGTAAGCTTAGAAAATATTAATTTTGAAATTTCATTGTTTTATTTACAGGTACAGCATTTACATACATGTAGTAAAATATAATTAAATGATAAAATCAATCAATATTTTAAAGTCTAGAATTATAAAATAGTCTTGCACGACTTACTTTATTTTCTTAAGCTTGTTTGTTCACGAAGTTTGAAAGTCGGGGTGAAATGTTACCTAAATCAAAATCTACAGACACTCATATTATGTTATATATCAAGTGAACCGGGTTTCTCATGTCAAAGAGCTCATTCAATGTATAACCATTAAACAATTCTTTACGATTTCATAATTATTGGACTGAACTTTTAATTTTTTATGTAAAAAAATGTGTTTTCCCCAGATTTTGAAATGCGTTCGATTTTCAATCCCAATTTATATTTTGATGTGTAAATCGCGTACATATATTTGTATTTATAATGTGGTAAAAGGAGTTAAAAGAAAGTTAAATGTGTATTCTTAACTGTAACTTAATCATATATTTTTATAAGCGGGCTGTGTCACCGCCGCATTTCAGTTCCTCTCATGGCACTAATCAGGCTCATGTAAACACAGATTAGCACCTCCACCACGAAAGGTGTTAATTGCTTGGGAGTAATTTCGATTACCGGGTATGTGTGGCCGGATTACAGGAAATTATTATGGATAATTATAAGCAGTTGGGTCCAGTATGGCCATTTGGAATACAGAATAGACAGTATCCGGCCTACACAGATTTTTTTTCTAATGAATTTGTTAAAGAAGTGCATAGGACTAAAATTTATAGATGGAATGGACAAAAATCCAGAGTACTCAGAATCCGAATTAGACAAATTTTACTGTATCTGCATCTCAGTTATTAAGAGACTGATTTCACATACATGTAAATCAAACAAGCCTCTGCTGGCAGGGAGATTATAGGAAACTGTTCCTGAAACTTTTTCTGACCTGTTCATAAGCTGCTGGAGAGAATGGTAGCTTCTGACTTCCAACTGTGTGCAGTCTCTGTGAGGCAGACCTCTGCTCAGCCTAAAGGGATACATTAAGATTATTATAATATTACTATTTTAAAAAAAAACTTCATCCAAAGAGCCAGATCAATAATAATGGAACAAAAGAATCTGATTAATAGCTTTCTACTTTATGGAATTCATCAGAGTTGTAATAATCATGTGATAATAATAAGGTACAATACCTGTGTGTTGATAAAGTTCATGATCTGAGAGAAGTCTGGCAGGACTACGTTGTCTTTCTCGATCTCGTTACCGTCCTTATCTCGCTTTTTTTCACCGTATAAAGCTTTCCGAGCCTCGGTCTGAATGTCTTCCTTCCTATAGAATTAAAGATCAATGAATCATTCATACAGATAAAGTGACCTTGATCTTTGAGATCTGATGTGATCTTACACTGTAATTCAAGACATAGCCTCCTTGTCAGTTCTCAAAGACTAAGCTCACTGGCCATCACTCATTAATACAATGCTCTATCCATTACTTTGAGATCTTTGTCCTTTAGAATGTTATTTCAGAATTTAGGATATGACCTACATTACCGTTACTAGTATATCATTCTTGTATATTTGTAGTCACTGAACATAAGAAGTAAGACTGCAATTGTAAATGCAACTGATATGAAAATTCTTACACGTCTCCACACGCTAACAACAGAATAAAGCGAGACGGTACATGATCTGCCGGGAACACAACCTTAGCATACTGAACTGCCATAGCCCTTGCCTGGGGTTCATCCTGAAACAGAGATTATAGTGTGAAAAGATTTCATCTTCAACGGAATGTAACTACTGTATACAGGGTTATTTTCGCCCTGTGTTATTTTCGCCCTTTCACATCTGAAAACAAGTTTGCCCCGTTTTAAATTCGCCCAAAAAGATTTTTGTTTAAGATATTATACAGTTTACTTTGAATTCGCCCCATTTTAAATTTGCCCACACCAGACTAGGGCAAAGGGGCAAAAATTAAACGGGGGTGAAAATTTCCCTGTATACAGTATTTGAAAATTCGGAAATATTTGCTAACCTTTTCTATATTCTGAGTAATTAATGCCTCCATAAGTGAGCAGGCTGATTGGTCGATCTCAGAATAAGCTGATGACATCAGAGACAATGATTCTTGAATAGCCAATCGAGATTCAGAATCTTCCTGAAAATAAAAGTTCAACATTTTCAGTATTAAATTTGAATTTATATCATGTATACATGTACATATTGGTAAAACTAAAATTAGCAAATAAAAATATTCTAATACTGAGAATATTTAATCAATAACTTTTTTGAATGAGTTTGTTCAGAAAGAATTTCTTTATAAACAAAAATTCTTTCAGCTGTATCTACACAGTTCCAAAATATAATGAATTCAAAGTCACATGTTTAGATGAAGACATGTTGTTATTTCAAGGCATCTGACTTGTTCTACACTGTGCTTCAGGTCTGTATGCAAAACTAGTATACATCTCACCTGAGCGATGGCATCAAAGAATTTCTGAGCCAGTCCTATATCCTTCTTCACCAGCAGTGGAGATCGTCTTACAATTTTACCGACAGCGACGTAGGTCAGGCTGCGGAGTCTGGAGTCATCCTTAGTCTCTGTGATCAATTTCATCATCCCAGACAAAAGGACAGAGCTGATTGGCTGAAATTTAGCATCTGGGCAGCTGAAAAAATGGCATTATCCATAATCATATAGATACCATGCAGTGTGCATAAGACTAAAGCAGAGATGATAGTTCCACATTACTTTTCTATAAGTATTGTACAAGATAGGAGTGGAAAAATTTGTGTATTACAAGTTTAATATAATTTTTGACAAAGTCTTGTATTTATCTAATTGCTGAAATACATACTTAAAGCAAACATGATGGACAAACTGTACTGCTAGGTTCTTCAGTTTTGCATTCGTATTCTGTCCATAAAGGCAGTCAAAAATAACCTAAAGAATCAAAATAGTATGTGTTAATACTGCCCAATACTGACAATGTGACAATTATTTCTAAACACAATACTTTAGATATAAAGAGCTTAAGATATAACTTTCTAGATGTTACCTGAACACATGAAGGAAACATGCCGGCAGCCTCCCTTGACTTTAGGAAGAAGGGAAAAATCTTGAGTCGGATTCTGGTGGATGCTGGAGCCCTCTTCATTTCTGGTTTAGTTGGAGGCTGTAAATAAACCGTTAACTCATACCTCTGACACCAAAAGCTTGAGCAACCCAATTGCAATACATATATTTTATCAATTAAAGAATTCCTAAATCAAGTTTACCAAGATTTCCTCAATCATATTTTTCTATTTCATTCAATTTTGAACTTGCAACATAATCTTCCATTCAAAATGATTTTTTTAGATTAACTATAATCACAAATTACTGCTAACAAGCATTATCCTTATCTTTATCTGGAAATAAAGTATTTGATTTAATCATAGGTTACTGTATAGAGGGTTATTTTTGCTCCGTGTTATTTTCGCCCTTTTATACCTGCTTACAAATTTCCCCCGTTTTAAATTCGCCCATTTCAACTTCTGTTTAAGATTTTATACTGTGTTCTTTAAATTTTTAAAGAACACAGTATAAAATCTGGTATAAAAAGTATAAAAAGTGGGCGAATTTAAAACGTTTTAAATTCGCCCACTTGTGAGAAGGGCGAATGGAGCGAAAATAAAATGGGGGCGAAAATTTCCCTGTCTACAGTATCTTAATTCTACAGAGAATCTTACCTGCCCTTTGACATCCATGGTTCCTTGGAAAAGACCAAACAATTGTTTCATGATCTCCAAATCATTCCAGTCTACTGTTCTACAAAATCATTAAACCAGGCATGTAATCATAATTCATTTTATCAGTGCAATACTGTAAACCAATTACATATACTATTGAAGTATTTGTGACATCTTTATTCATGATTAGTCACTATGTTTGTGCAGTCACATGTTTACAATATTTAATATGCATCATAAAATCTCACCCCTGAATCTTCTTTAGCTCAAAATCTGCTGCCGTGGCAACACTGCAAATGGAATAAACAACAGTGTTGAAACAAGATTATTGTAAAGAGTAAGCATTGAGAAATTAGAAATCACTTAAAACTTAGCTCATTTTTTCTATTTCATTATCAAACATAAGCTCAACAAAACAATGCTTTCATTGACAATCAAAACTGAACACAAATTACAAGAAAGGAGGCGCTGGGAACAAGAAGAATGCTGTATATTACCTGTGACGTGTGTCAGAAGAAGCAATGATGTAGTGACAGATGACGACATTCTCTGGAAATAGTTCCGCCCCCAGGAACTTAATGATCCCCAGCTTAGACTTCTCCAGGGCTTCTGCTGACATTGGGTTGTCTCCCGTTACTCGTCGCAGAGAGTACTCACTCATTGCCGGGGGTACGGTAGGTTTAGGGGTGCTTCCAGCTGGAGCACTTGCTGGTCGTGAAATTTGACTCAACATGCCCTGAACACTATTGAAATAGAGAAGAAACTTAAAGAAATTGAATGAAATGGCAGTATATATATAAGTAAGTAGGTACTGTAATTTTTCTTCATATAAATATTCAACAATGATTCTATAATAACAAACCAACCCTTAAGGACAACCCTCTTATGAAAATTCTGGGGAGACATTACAAAAATGATATCATGCTAAGTCAGACACACTAGGTTTGTCTATTTGTTTCTCAGCAAAGGATATCAGCATTTTACTCTGAGGAAAAATGTTCAAGACAACAAAGTACTGATGTTGCTGATCATTAAGATGGGGAAATTACATGCAAATAGTGTTCAGCTAATTACTTTAGTGAAAGAAAATTTTAAAAATAATTGAGTTGACTGAAAAAGGAGTGTCAATTTCAATTTATTTTATTCTAGTTGTAAGGGCAGATCTTTCAAACAGCAAAAAAAAAATATCACTGAATTAACACTTTTTAGTATGATTTGTATAAAAGGTCTTTTTAGAAGTAAATTTCTGGCCTCAGAATTTAAGTCTTCAAAAAAAAATCTGGGAAAATCTTTGGTTTAAACTGACTTATATGGAAGCAGCAGAACGTCCATGAAATAACTTAGAATGTCAGTCCGAGTTTTCTCCTCAACAACAAACATATTCTTCCTCTTCTCAGGTTCCGTTGGCATGGTAACATAACCCAGGGCTGGAGTCACCAGAAGGAGGATGCTAAATACAACAAAATAAGAAGGAAATAGATGTTAAATAAATACTAAATCAAGCATAGGAAAGGATCAGAAATAGACATAATAAAAAAATGGCATATAATAATAACTTATATGTGGTCAACCAAAACTTGATAAGAATTACAAACAAGATGAGTATTACCTGTCCTGCTGTGAATTGGGTTTGCCTTCAAGACATTTCAGAAGTAAGGGAACTAACTCTGCCTGTTTATCAGGAGCCAGTCTGGGATATCCCATTCTTATGTAGATTATGGAAAAGTTCTGTAAAAATGGGTAAACAAAACAACTTAACAGATCAGCTTATATGATTGTGTTTATCAAAGATTGAGAAGAAGAGAAGAAATGTTTATCTATTGAACTGTCTATACCATCTAACCCCAAAGTCCATAAAAGAAATATTTTACAGTTAAATTCAGCAAAAATTTACAGTATATATATATGTATGTATTCCTTACTGTGATGATAGATGTGGCCTGTGGATCCCTGTATTGATTAATCAGCTGCTCCACTGGCAGGAGAACCTTAGGACGACTCTTTAACCTCTTATTGACATGGACCAGTAACTCCATCACCTGAAACACAATAGAACATACCAACTTCTATCACTGCTCTTATCCTTTACCCTAAAAACTTCTCATCATCAACATATAACTAAATCTCTGACACAATGACATGCCGTAATGTATCAGATTTATATACCTTTTTCCGTACAGCCTCATCCTTGCTATTGAGTTTGAGTAAGACAGCAGGGAGAAATCTATCCAAGCAACTCTCTAGTTGTTCATCAGACTCAGAGGATCCTATTCTCAGAAAAACTCTCTCCACAAGACCTAAAAATTGATTTACGTATATCTTATAGCAGTCTTTAATTACACATAGAATGCCCAGTAAAGCTGCCTTGTACACAACTGTACAAATGGTAGCACTTCTCTTTTCATGCTTTTTGACTTCTAAAATATTTTACATTCTTTTTCATAGGCTAGGAAATAATTCTTAATCTTTAAGTTAAAATAAACTACTTGGTACTTATGCAGATTGCTGCTATCCGAATTGAGTCTCAGTAATGATAGAAATCAAATCAAATCTGACAGCAAAGTATTGGCATACCATGTCAGGTGTGGTTTGAAGAAATGGATCTAAATTAAAATTAAATAGGTACCTGTGCTTGCCCTAATGGTCACAAAACAAAGATCAACTGCAAATTGAAAATACAGAACACTTCGTGCTAAAATTAGCCAAAGAACAGTAGTGTTATGATTTTAAATTTTAGTCTAACTTTATGGTCAACTCACATAAAACTATATCACTACAATGACACCTTTGTGCAATACCATTACATAACTCATAAGAATTTCCTCTGTCAGATGGACATGGATATATATCTATGTATCTGGACTCACTTATTTAGGAATATTAGAAACATTGTCACCATTGGTCCATTTGACCAATGATAACTGTTTTCAAAATGAATCACTGTAACAAATTTTACATGGACAAATTGTATGATTTCAAACAACTATATTCTGTGAGAGATATTCTACCTAATCTCCGTAGATTTTAACAAAACCTTTATTGGAGAATTTTAAAATTGTATATATAAACAGCTTACTTAATTCATCAGGTTCTGACATCTTTTAAAATTCAATTTTTAAGTAGGTTGGGTAAAATTCTGCCTGCTCTGACAAAGCAAAAGTAGAGATTTCAAAGATTATTGTTAGATCGATCGTCAGCTCGGTCGATATTAGACTTTCTCAAGTCTTAATTTTTGTTTGAAGATTAAGAACATTAAATTTACGTTTTTAATATACTTATGTAAAATGTGTTTAAACACATTGTGAAACTACTTCAGTGAATGGTCATGATAATAAATCAGTGCCTTTACGAAATATTTTACGAACGCTCTAAATATTTACGACAAATACGTACACTTCTATTCATTAGGCCTACCTTGCATTAAAAAAAAGCTATTAACATGATTAAGTTTACTTCCAAATTTTGTATATATCATACAATTTTCAGGATTCGTGGATTCTTGTTTTTTTTCTCTTGATTTTACGACATTACTGAAGACTGCTTATGGCAATGTCAGCTGACTTTCATTTCGATGACCATGAAAATGATTGAATGGCAGACAACAACAAGGAATTAGAATCTAAGGAAGATAATTCCAGGGTGTCTTGTCGCGTAAAGGGACATCAATCACGTCTTGATTTACAAACCATTAATTTACCTCGGTCAACGGGAAGAATAAACGGTAACAGTTGAATATTTACACGTTAAACATAACGTTTGAACAAAATCAAGTTTCACAATATCTGACATGATAAAAACGAATCTTTCTTTGTTAAATTTATTGTACTCGCAAAGAGTACAATCAGTAATCACAATTTTATTTCACAATTATATGTATTGACAATTTTTTTTCTCTACAGCTGCAAAGATCAGAGCATGTAATTTTGTTGATTACACTATAATTTAGAATTAACTCACATGGCAAGCACCAATACTCTCCCAAATGACATTGACAATACTGCTGGACAGACAACAGAGGGCCCTACACCAAAGAAGACTTTGAAGAGAGTGGCATCATTTTACACTCCATATATGGAGGATCGCTTGAGAAGGAAACTCAAATTCCATTTCATGGGGCCACATGAAAAATTCAAAGCTAAAAGGAAGTGTCCCTGGAAGCTTGTTCTGCAGATTTTTAAGGTCTTTCTAGTAACAGCTCAGGTGAGAAATATTTTTATCAAAAAAAAGCAGGTAAAATTCAGCAAAGTTGGTCAATGTACAATTTGTGACTATTTAAGACGTTAGACATGTTAAAAAAATCAAACTAGTTTACTCTACTGAATAAAAGAATATAATCTCATGCAACATCTACATGCATTTAAATAACTTTTCAACTGCTTGCTATTGATTTTTTTATTTTTTTATTTCTTTATTTTTTTTTTAATGAGAAACATATTTCTTAAATATGATGATGAAAAATTACAACACATATCATAACAGAAATTTTTACAAGAAAATGTTATCTTACAGCTGATTATGTTTGGATATGAAAGAGCTTTATTTGTTGAATATGTGGAGTTGAACAATATTGCCATGAAACACATGTACCTGCTTAAATGGGATCCCAGCTTTGAGACAATGCCTTATCCTCCAGCAACGGGGAGATATGCAATCTACAGTGCTAATGACCTTATAGATCATGTCAACTTTGCTATGAAACAGGTAATACCTTGATATTTCAAGATTAAATTTTTTGTTTAAACAATTAGCAAACTTTAGAAAGGGACCATTTTCAATTATCAGATTGTAAATTGTGTATTAATGTATTATTCAAACAGTCGTGATCCTCAAAAGTTTAGATCACATATACCTGTCCTATTTTACAGTTCAACCATACAGAGGAACTGACACTTGGATCACTAAGATTTGCCAACAGAACAAAATACCTGAACATGTGTGTAGAGGAGTATAGGGAGGGAAGGGTGTATGACAATAACACCTATGTATTCGATCCCAAGGTTACCACAGGTAATTCTTATATAATAACATATTGACAATGACATCTTTGTTTTTGATAAAGGTTACAACAAGCATTATATACATGTACAATTAAGAGGTACATGGTTCATGAGGATTTGATTTCGTGGATGTAGAATTGTTGAGTAGTAATGTATGTCACATTTTACATTTCATGGTGGACAGATGCTTTACACATCGGAAACAACAAAAATTAAACACCCACAAAATTTGTGATGTTATTTTAATTGTTATTTTTTATAATGATTGACACCTAGTTTGTTTTACCACAGGTAATCCTTATTTATAGACAATGACATCTTTGTTTTTGATAAAGTTTAAAACAAGAATTATATACAGTTTACAGGTACATGTACGCAGCATTGTTAAGGCTTGAAAAAAGGCAGGGGCCTGTATTTTTATATGGTAAATGTTTACTGTGATTTAAAAAAAAACATTTTGTAAATTCTTAAAGCAAATACTTCAATTTTAAACTGTATATAATAAACAACATCAAAACTTATCAATGCATTAAAAATTTTCAATTAAATTTATCCCAGACAACAGTTTATAAACAAATCACTGATCGCAGCAAAATTGTCAACATGAGACATTATGTAAAAATTACTTTTTTATGTGCTGTCCAAAGGCAGGTAATAATTTTTTACAATGTAAAATTATTTTATAATTAAGCAGAATATTATCTACATATTTAAGATAGTATTAATACCAATTCACAACCTTTGTTTATGCAAAATAATGATTAAAGAGAATGTTGACAAAACCATGTTTATATGTACTATTTGATATATAACTTCAGGTGGCTTATTAAATCGCCTTTTTGCCCACTTACTCCTGTTAGCCAATTTTTTAATATAAATAAAGGATGGTTTCCTTAACTTGAAAAGTGCTGCTGCTTTCTTTAAATCGAGAGTGTGACTTAATGAGGATATACGTCCAAAATACATAAAGGTATGATTTTCCTTATTTACTTGAAATTTTAGTAATAAAATACGAATTCTTTTTGAAGCAGCAATGTTTTCCAGAAAGTACAAAGAATGCAGAAACAAATGTTAACTTAAATTTTTTATTTCAACTAGGGTATGCCCTTGCGATATTGAAATTTGTTTATGACCTCCATTCAATGCACATATAATATTTATCATGTGGCTGTCCATTGATGGGACCAAACTTCATGAACCAGTGTGGTAATGTTTCAGTAAGTATTTAAGCTATGTAATAATAAAACTGCCTTATAAAAATAAACTGTTTTGAAAAGTTTGTGTCACATCTATATTCCAGTCTCTTTACCTCCCCAGTGCTGTGTACTCAGTTTTGGAGTTTCTATTGCAGCTTTAACAAAGCACCCATTTGATAATGAAATTTATATTTCCTATGGTTGAATAAAAAAAATTTAATATTTGTTCAATCTTGAGCCTGTACCTGTATATAATGAAACATCAAACAGTACAGAGCTTCAGTACGACCTCCTGGCTATCCTGAAAAACCAGAACAGAACCTTGTATTTTGATAGGTAATCAAGTTATTTAAAAAATTCTTAAAGCATACTGCAGATTCCTTATTTTTCGCAAGTACTTATTATCATGAAAGGCCTCTTCAACATCAAATTGCGAGAATAATAATTTGCAAATGGAGTTTTATCAATTGATAACATTGTTTTTAGCACAACAGAAATAAAAGCGAGTAATTCTATTTTTTGCGAGTGGTGCTTCTCACGAAATTACGCAATAATTAATTCCATGCATATATTTAGAAATTTACAGTAATGCCTCAGTAGGTATTTAACGTTCAGTTAAGTTATTGAAGTTTACAATTGAATTCGTATTGAAATTATGATTTTGACAAAACCATAATTATATGATTTTCAAACCGGTAGTTTAGCCACACCCCTCTCCTGCCATATACTTGTACTGATATTTAATACATTTGTTTAATAACTATTTGTCCACATACCAGTACATATAATTTTCCTTTCTACTTAAACTGAATCTTTATTTCTGTTACTACAACCAATGATTAAGTTATTTATTTTCACGCGCGCTGATCCCTTAAAAAAAAGCCGAGAGGAAGAGTCATACAATGTTTTTTTTGGCAGGGTAAGTCAGGGGAGACAACATTCCAGTAGAAATAGATCTTACTTCCTTAAAGTTTGTGTGTTCTCATATTGTCCAGAATAACAAAGAGTCCAGGATAATGAAACAGACCTAATGGTTAATATACATGTGAAATACATGTACAGAAATTTTTTTCCGAAGTTTAGGCATCTGGATCCATGAGATTTAATTTTATACTTGGTTTGTAAGTTAAAATTTTAAGTGTAGACAAATATTTTTGCAGATTGTGTTTGATGACAGTAATAAAGACGGTCAGATGGTGGTGGGTCTTTTCTCTTCACTGGATGAATTCAAGTGCAGTGGGAGGTTTAAAAATACATGTATGTGTAAGAATGCCAAAATATTAACCCTGTCTTTAATTGGCAGTGTATTTAGTTTTTTCAAACTTTTAATCATTTTGACAATTTTAATACCAGTGTCATATAATATATTGAACCCCGCGATATTTTGAACCTGGGTTCAAAATATCGTTTTTGGCTAACCCCCCTAAAATTTGAACCCGGGGTTTATATTTTCCATAAACATATACCCCCTGTCCTTTTAATTGTGAGGGAGGGGGTAAATATCCATAATATTATCCCCCCTGCCCTTTAAATTTAAGCAGAAGGGGGTACCTGAATATTATTCCATAAAATATTGATCCCATTTTTTTACTAGGGGGTCCGAATTTTATGGCCATAAAATATCCTCCGCCCTTTATGGATAAATACATTTTTTAACTCGTCAAAATATTATGGCCATATATCTTTGCCCTTTAAATTATTTACGATCACTCAATCAACCATAAAAGATAAGTGTTTTGTGACTCACCATAAAATACATTTCTTTTGTTTTAAATGATTTAAGATGAAAACAAAATGAATTTAATTTCATTCTAAAATGAGCTAGTGCAATGATCAGAGAAAGGGAAGATAATTTATTGAAGTTCATTTTAATTTTATTTCATAATATTTAAACATGACTGAATTTGATTTTGAGAATTAAAACTTTGATTTTAAAAAGAATGACCTCAGTACCCTGACTTTTATCAGCAATTAATTTCTTTTTCAACATTATTTTATTGTTCAATTATTTTAATTTTTGCCCCTGCCCTTTAAATTTGGGCTAGTAACTTTGGCCATAAAATATCAATTGCAACTAGCCTGTGGGCCATAGTACTTGATATTTTTAATTGCACAACACTGTGTACTATAGTTAAAAACAATGGGTACAAAGTTGTTTCATACACAGCAATAGAAATGGAAGCAGAGGAGATGTTTGAAAACATTACATTTATGAAAGTAAAGTCTTTGAAACTTGACACATTTTTACTTATTAAAAAAAATCCCCAAAAAGTTAAGAATGATAAGTTCATGTGGTATGCAAATGATATCTATCTTTATTTTTTAGGTTCACGCATTTTGAAATAACACTTTATTAAAAAATATATATATGTATAAATTATATTCCCTCGCCTCATAATTTTGAAACCCAAAATAAAAAATAATATTAATATATTGTAAAAATTGTGTATTGATGCTCTCACTTTTTATTTTTGAAAATCCAGAAGAACTATTTTACAAATTGGTATGGCCTTATTTTTTTTTCAAATTTTTAATCATTTTGACAGTTATAAATAATTTCAGTAGCTTATATTTAGAGGATGTGTATTGATGCTCTCCCTTGTTCGTTATTTAGCTGATGATGAGGCAGACAAGCTGGGACAAATGTTTTTTGGATGTGACCTACATTTTCCAGATGAGTGACCAGGTTTAAGATTTTTGAACAGGTCCATTACCAAGTAACTGTAAGTCTTACCCAAACCAAACTTGCATGGATGATGCATATAAGGATGGACAATCGAAATTGCTAACTCACATTTTCTAAGGGGTGAAGTTAAAGTTTTTGGGCAATTTTATTATTTAAAACTGTTGAACATTTGATGTAACTAACTGTTGAAAAATATGAAGTGAGATTTGCATTACTTTAACTGACACTTTTCGTCAAGGTGAGTTTCATAATCTTTGATTACCTATTTTTTTCATATGTATGTATCTTGTAAAGTAAAACATGCTTATAATGAAGTGCCAGACAACAGATAATTTTGCTTCTTTTTAAACAACATAAGCAGCACATTTCACTGTAGAAATAAAGAACATTGAATATGTATACATTGTATTTAAGAGAATTCACTTTAAATAATTGTTTTGTAATGTTTACAGGAAACTGTGCAGTTCTTTAAGACCCGTTACAGGAAGGATCTCAGTTTCTACGACAAGTTTGAGTTTGTTAATCTCTGGTACGTTTTGATTGTAATTAACGACATTCTGACTGTGGTGGGATCATCCTTCAAAATTCAGCTGGAGAGGAGGGTAGGTAGCATAACTTAATTTAGGCCATATGTTTCTGTAAATTACTTATTAAAATTATCTAAAATCTTTATTTTTGGATCAAAGGACCTTGTCCCACATTTTGATGACCTGCCAATTGATTATGACCCACAGACGGTAATTCTCAAAAATGCTCCTCTTCGACCCCCCACGCTGATCTAGATACCCCCTTCTACTTTCCTCATCCTTTTTCCCTTTAAATGATACACACTTATTTGAAAAAAAAATCTTTAGGACAGCTTAACACAGGATTTTATTCTGCATTCCTTAATATTTCATTTTCCCATGCAAAAACAATTACATTCCCTTTCCTCACACAACACTGAAAGAATAAAAAAAAAAAGTTTCAATGACTGGGCCATTCTCCTTAAGAGAAATGCTTTAAGAAATAAATTCACATTGCTGCACCATTTTCCTCAAGTTTTGATAAAATACATGTAGATTTAATATCCAAATCGTTACAACTATTCTGACATGAATACATATTCAATGTTTTCAATAAAAAAGGAAGTCTTTTAATTAGTATAATAAATGTTAACTGTAACCAAATATGATCAGCTAACAGGTTAAGTCTCAAAGTCTCTCATTTAAAAAAAAAATTGTACAGGTTCATGTAGAAACTAACAGGCAAGTGGTTGCTTTCATTCAGGAAGACCATTTTGAAGTTTAATCTTAATTTCACCAATAGAAGTAAATCACACTGGGTGACTACACAAACTTAATTTACTGCTGCTTATTTTATCCAACAGGGCTAGGGTTTATTTAACTAGTATGAAAAGTTTATAATTGCAAAATTCATAAAAGTGTTGTAACTGTATGCAGCTCTGTCAGTTTACAAGTTCTTGTCATTTTACCACCTTTGATGCTTTTAGCACGCCCAGAGTTCATCAGAAAACTATGACCTTTGTGCACTAATGCTGGGAACTGGAAGTTTGCTGGTGTGGATGGGAGTTATTCGATACATTGGCTTTTTCAAAACTTTCAATGTAAGTATTTTTTTGTATTGACTTTAATACCAACTTTAATTGCATATTTATATAATAGTGTTGTGTTTTGCGTGCACTATGCCTAAATAGTAGTCAGGGTTTGACACATGGTGCACAAGCCGTAGGCGAGTGCACTATGTGTCAAACCCTGACTACTATTTAGGCATAGTGCATGCAAAACACAACACTATTGTTATTATTATGCTGACTGTTGTTACTGTATAAAAAGGCCAATATTTTCTTCATTCCCAATGTATCATCACCTGTAACATTCGTGTACTCTATTATGATGTCACCTTATGCAACATGTACGTCATAATCTTTTTCTTTAATTTTGAACGTTGCATGCTTTAGGTATAATCTACAGATAGTTTTAGAGAATATTATTTGAGTGAAGGAAGGGGGTTGCAAGAAACTATTTTAGAAGAATTATTTTGTTTATTTTTAAATTTTAAGTGTAAAATATTTGAAACTAAGTTTATATATATTATAGTACAACACTATAGATAACGGCGTGTGTGGCGTAATCGGTAGCGCGTCGGACTGACAAACTTGGGGTCGTGAGTTCGCTCCCCGGTATGGGCGTTGTCGGATTTTCCTCAGAAATGGAAGCCGTGCACTATTTCGGCATAGTATGCTTACGCTATATAAATCCTTAGAACACTATGCGAGAATAGTAGGGTATGGGTTATATAGAGACAAACTGATGGGAAGCATAATAATATCAAATAGTTCTCACTATGAGCATTATAAACTAATGTTGTTAGTCTTCTATGATGACTACACATTATCAGAGAACGTCTGGAAATAATGAGTCTTTGATTATCAGTATCTCATAGAAAGACTTAGAAATTTTGACTCCAGTCGTAGTGTTTCAGAATATCTAAATCCCTTTAGTGTTTGAAAACAATAGTTATGTTTTTCCGTCTTCTGAGAACAGATTTTGACTGTGGTGTTGAAGAAAGCCTTCCCGGACATGATGAGGTTTTTGGTGACGACTATGATGCTGTACCTTGGTTTTATGTTCTGTGGATGGGCTGTGTTAGGACCTTATCACATCAAAGTAAGCAGCTGTGCAGTATTAACAAGATTTTAAATCTTTTATGCCTATGCAATGAACTTTGTTTTGTTAGATGTGTTCATTAGACTTCTCTCTCATTACCAAAGTAAAGCTATTCTTGTCTTTTAATCTGTGCTCTATTTTTATTACCAGTTCCGTCACCTGAGTACAGCCTCTGAGTGCCTGTTTTCATTGGTGAATGGTGACGATATGTTTGTGACGTTTTCTGCCACCGTGACAGAGGACACATTAGTCTGGTACTACAGCAGGATCTACCTGTATTTATTTGTGTCGCTGTTTATTTATGCTGTCCTGAATCTCTTTATTGCTGTTATCCTCGACACGTATGAAACCATCAAGGTACAGTGAATTGTTAAAAAATAAGACCAATTTTTCAAGAAAAATGTTGGTAATCCTTGAAATTTGATATTTTTATGGGATTACTTTTTATTTTATACTCCTAAAGAGTGAACTGTTTGAAATTTTTTTATCAGAGTACTTTTTATAAGAGTAAACTGTTTGACATTTTTTGTAGTAGTACTATTTATTCTGTCAAGAGTGATCATGAACTGTTTGAGATTATTGTAGGAGTACTATGAGAAGGGCTTCCCTAAGAGTGAGTTGTTTGAGTTTATTGATGAGTGCGAGGATTCTCCAGACTCGGAGCTCTACAGAGGGGAGGATCAAACATGTTCCTGTGGTGTATTGTCCCTCCTCTGTTGCTTCTGTTGTAAAAAGTCAGTAAAATTTATTCAATGTATTGCCTACTAAAGACATTTATTTTTGCGTTTAGACAATCATTTTGTTGCCTAAACAACACAAGGATTGTAAACAAATTAAATTTAACAATCCCAAAGTAATCATTAGAAAAATGTATAAATGTAGAAGTAGTAGGTTGAGTTTGATATATCTGACCCATCTAGTTACAGAAAATGGATAGATAACAACAATTCCTGTTTCCATATTTTGAATTACTAGTTTGATTGATGATAGATTTAATTTTTTTTAATGCAGAAAAAAATCAGGCAGCCCTTCAGAGTACACAAGTCTTCTCCACTGACCAGAATCTGACGATCAGCCAATCATTATAAAGGAGGTGTGTCCTAATCTGACAATCAACAAATCATTATAAAGGAGGTGTGTCCTAATCTGACAATCAACAAATCATTATAAAGGAGGTGTGTCATAATCTGACGATCAGCCAATCATTATAAAGGAGGTGTGTCATAATCTGACGATCAGCAAATCATTATAAAGGAGGTGTGTCATAATCTGACAATCAGCAAATCATTATAAAGGAGGTGTGTCATAATCTGACGATCAACAAATCATTATAAAGGAGGTGTGTCATAATATTCATTTAGGACTCAGTAACCACAGCCTAAGTACAGGGTACTGTACTACATAGCCTCAACCTTCATAGACCGCTGAACAACGCAACTCAGGTCAATAACATTCCTAAAATGGATATGTCAAGCTTTAATTCCATTGTAATTGCAATATGACTGTTAAGTTTTGATATGTTGCCAATATCTTATATTTTTATGTAGGTTGTAGTGTATGGTGGAAAAATGGTGCTTTTTTTAGTTTGTTCATAAAATGTGCCTAAGGATTATTGTCTACTTGCTTGTTTTATTTGATTGTTGTTAGAACAGTAGATTTTGAGATTGAATTTACAAGTATACATGTATTTAAAATTTGTATGCAGTTTGAAAGTGTGGTCATTTGTGTCTAATGCAGGGTACTGACTCTTAAACTAAGTTATTATAGTATTTAGATATCAATCACTTACATTAATTAATTGTCTCTACATGAATTGAACTACATATACAGTATGTTAAAAAAATCTTATATTTATATTGCAAAAAGAATTCTTGACAAAAATTCATAAAAATCCAAATATTTAATGGAAAAAATGTTTGCATAATGGAAACCTTAAATGAATTGCCATATGAAAAATGATGGCAAGTACATGTATAAGCTTATATCAACATATTTCTTCTATCTTCTTGTACGGCTGATAAACTTGCATGAATGGTATCTTTGTTTTTACCGATTCTGTTTGCTGTGCTTGAGACAAGATTAGATTTTTTGGTTGGGGGGTACAGGATTAGAATGAATGTTTTCTATAATTTGACAATTTTTTGTACAGTGTGTATATTTATCATTTTGTCTTTGCATCAAAGATATAGTGTGGTCAAAGGCTTTGCATAATTAACATTACTGTATCTGGTTTGTTACACTCAAAATGCTTAGAGTACATGTACCAGTAATACGTATATAGTCATCAGATTTTTATCACCCATCAAAAGGGTAGGGGGTATTAATTGGGGTCTTTCCTTTCTTCTGCCTTTCATACAATCTGTTTGTAATTGTTAAGTTTTCACAGAACATTTCTTATAATGCTTTAGCTTTTGCAATGAAATACAAGTCCCTCAGACTTAAAGAAGACCCCTATTGATTTGAGGTCATAGGTCAATGTCAGAAATAATACAAATGTATTTGCATGGCATAAAATGGCTTTCAGATGTAAATCTACCTAAATAATCTATAAAATCAGATTATGACCCTTAAGACCCTGATTAACTTTAGGGCCAACTGTGAAAGATTTAGATTCAGTTACAAAGGTCTTCAACTAAACCATGGCCCCTATTGATTTTGAGGTGAAGGGGCCAAGGGTCAAATGACAAATTTTATAATAGTAGATTGTTACATATAATCTTGATAAAATCACAAACTGCTTTCCTTCAACAGGGACAAAAATTCTCCTGGTTTAGCTTTTTTCTCAGAAAAACTTCACATCAACAATACAAAATCAAATATTTTGTATTAATTTATTGAGAAATCATTAATATTCTCCTCATCCTATCTCCATTCCTGACACATAACTTGATCTAATGATACATTGCTTTGTTAATTTAAGTACAAACTTCTTGTAGGAAACAAGTATATATTTTACAATATGCAAATTGAAATTATGCATAACATATGAATGTTCAGTATTGTTAAAAAAATTTAAGTTTTTAAATTCAAAACATTCTTTTGTTCCTCATTAATTCTAATAATGAAAATTATAAAATTCAAAGAAAAAAAATCATGTACAGGAGTACAAGCTAATGATTTGGTAGGTTACCATGATTTTATTGCAAAACAAAGAAGTATAAAGTATTATGCTAAAGTAATCCTATGTTCAGAGAAATATTCACCCTTTGTTAAGACAATGAAATGGCAAAAAACACAATTAAGATTTTTCTGATATTATTACACAAACAGATGGACTTGAGTTATCTGAGGCCTATCCAATCCTTCACACAATTATTCAGAATACTAGTTTTGATATTTATTAGACAGTCTATCCGATGCCTAGATCTGGATTCCCCTCTCCCGGAAGCTTTTCTTTGTGTTCGTTAGACTTATCCTGTGACAGACAACCCTTAAAAGAGTTCAATCGCACATCTATCTCACCGTCCTCCAGCTGAAATAAAAATTGTCCTCACACATCAGTCACTGGAAAACAACAGGTGCCCACCTCTAATTTTAGCATACAGAATAGATACATGTATTACCAAATGCTTTTAACATGCAGTATTATTTCCTAAGCAATATTACTAACTAAACATCATTTAAGTTATTTGATATTTTGTTATTAAAATCAAATGAATACTCGTTTATCATGTTTATAGTGCTATCTATTGTTGTTCAGATGTGATACTGAATAAAGATGTAAGAAAGTATATTTTTTTAAGTTTTCTCTTGTATACACATACTGGGTCATCTGCGTAGATCTGCTGATAACAGAAGCTGGATGTACAATTCCTGACACAGGCTGTCTGCTCCGCTCCAAACTTGGACAAACATTCTGGTCGTGTTTCACACAGGGCCTTGGCATTCTTATACTTCCTGTCCTATAGAGAGAGAATCAGTTTTCAGTAAAATATATAACAATTTCTGTGGACTTTTTTCAGAGTTAATACTATAAAGCTTCAACAGAAAATAAATTTTCAAACTTAAAAACATATAGGAATTTTTTTTTACTCCCAAATCATCTTCAAACCTTATAATGACTTCAGACAAACTTACCCCCCCCCCCCCCCACCCTGGAAAACACGGCCCCTGAAAATTTTTTGCATTACCAGTAGTCAAGTTACAGTTCTGGAGCTAGTTTTTATATAGCTTTAATTATACTTAACACACCATTATTATTTTTTTTTTGGGGGGGGGGGGGGATTTGCAATTTCAAATGGGGTCTAAATTCAGCCCTATATGGGGCAGAGTAAAATCTCGGCTATGCTCCTTTATTACATACATCTCTCTTCTTCCTGTATGTATACTGCTTAAACTCGTACTGTTTCCTGCTCTCCACAATTTCTGTGACGATTACAATCACGACCAGAAGCAAACAGACGTCCTCCAACCTCATCTGTAACAGATATTAAATATAGAGATAATCAGAGACCCTTAGCAAGATCTATTTGCTAGCGCTCTCGAGCGCTAGCAACTATGTTAGTCCAAATTCCTTGAATACGCATGCTCGGCTTCACGGTTGTGCATTCTGGGAAAACTGTGAAAACTACTATTATAGATAGACCATACGAGAACAATTTCGTTGTATCATGTTGTAGCTCAATTTTTCCGTTTTTTTTTTTTCCTGACGAAAAAGCCTGAGTCATTATATGATTGTTCTAAACAAAGTCAAGGGAGTTTTTTTACGTCTTAGCACAACCAAAGATAGACTCTAATTTCTGATTGGTCAATTCAGCCAACCTTACAAATTACAGAAACAAGAATTTACACTAAAAAAATAACGAATAAATCCATTATTTGCATATATTTTAAAAAAATCTTATGTGTTTGGCTTTTAACCTAACATTTCTTGACAAAGATGACCCAAAAGGACCACGCTACTTCACATCTTCACATTCGGAACTCTCTGGATTTCTTTATATAACATACAATTTGAGTTATTTTCTATATTCCATTTAACTCCCCTATATTGCAAAGAAATTCTATACTTAAACCAGCTCATACAATGCCTCAATCGGCATCTTCTCAATATTATGTAGAGTCTCCCCCTCTCCAATAAAGGTCATAAATGTTCCGTTGCGCAAAAATTCCAATAGGTCAACACCCCCTATGTGTCTATAAAATACAATTCACAAAACAATTATAACTTTAGTTTATCACTTTCCAGCCTCGATAAAAATTAAAGAATTTAGCAAAATAAATCATTTGATCACGGATCCTTTCTGTGTTTAAAAATTGTTACGGCGCTAGCTCACCTATCTTTTTTAAAAGATAAACTTGTTTTAATCTTTAGATCTATCATTGATTTTGATTTGCCAGATACTATTGGGATGGTAGGATTTAACTCTAATGCCGATGTTTACGTCGTACTCAAAAGCCAATTAAAATTCACCTACTTTAATTGATATTACATTCGTGTTGTTCACTTTCACATGATCAAAACCAGAGACTTTCAGGAAAATTAAAATTCTAGTTTCTTTACTTGTTTATCACCGCAATTTCTTAACCGGAAGTATATTTTGGCAAGCGGTAAATCTAGTCTTCCCGACTCCCGACGCCCGACTCCCGACGGTCCCGGATTTGGGATTTTTGGCGATTTCTTTTTAACCGGTGCACAGAATTTATTCAAACTTTTCAGACACATTTTCTAGGTTTCAATGAATTCATTTATGCATAAAAACTTTTGGAAACATGCCTATTTATTACTGAATCAGCAGTATCACCTGCCAAAAAGCGGTAAATCTAGTACTCTGTTATAAATGTTAAAACCAAAAACGGACACCGATGTTTTCGCAGAATCGCGATTAAAAACAACAAAATGAAGTATATTTTTTGCTAAAAATAAAAGGAAAACCACATTTACATATCAGATAATTTGTACGCACAAAATCACATGTTTTCTTCTTTTTTTTTTAATTTAAAGTTATGCTCATTAATTATCGATACATGAGCGGAGACGCGAGGTTTCGTAGATGATAATATTGATATTACTTGGGAAGATATTTCTTCTTTAAAAAAGATAGAATTAGCATTTCAGTGAAATTGGTGGTATTTAAAAAAATATGAACAGTTTAATTTTATAAATTCTATAACAACAAAATGACTTAAAGTCGGGTTCCTTAAGAATTTCAATCATAGATTTGTTTAACATGTTAATGAAGAAGATAATCACTTAATTATTATAAAAGCTTAATTAAGGCAGTGTAAGCTTGGGTAAAATAATTTATTTCCTAATCACCTAGCTGATACAGTGAAAACCAAGAGATATTCTGTCAAATTAAAAAAGGTAATTATATGTATAGTAAACTTATGCTAAATCAAAGCAATTAACCATGATAACATAATTTTAAAACTTGTAACTGGGGACAAACCATGGTCCTTAAAATAATAATTACTGGTAATCTGATCATGTTTTTTTTTTCATTGTGTAGGTTTTCCTACGATAAGAATTTAGAGTAAACTGAAAATCAATCAACAAAAAGTTAATTCAAATTTGAAAAAAAATAAATAATCGTAGAGCCTGTGAACATAATGTGGCAATGAGTTCTATACACGGGAAAAAAAAGAAAATATGTAGGTGTTTTGGGGGCATACAAATTATCTGGCATGTAAATTAGGTTTTCCGCTAATTTGTTGAAAAAATTATACTTCATTTTGTTGTTTTTAATTGCGATTCTTCGAAAACATCGGTGTCCGTTATTGGTTTTAACATTTATAACAGAGTACTAGATTTACCGCTTTTTGGCAGGTGAAACATCTGGTTCAGTAATAAATACATAAATTTGTAAAAGTTTTTACGTACTCATGAATTCATGTAAACCTAGAAAATGTGCCTGAAAAGTTTGAATAGTTTCTGTGCATCTTGAAACGAGAAATCGCTAAAAATCCCAAATCCGGGACCGTCGGGAGTCGGGCGTCGGGAGTCGGGAAGACTAGATATACCGCTTGCCGTATATTTTGAACACTAAAACGTCTACCAGATCGGTGCTAAAATCCGGATAATTTTGTTCATTAATTTTAAAAATTTATATATTTAGAACAATTATGTTCTGATAAATATAAGAGAGGTGTGTAGCTAAGATACAATTATGTATGACATTGACTGATGGAAATAGAAAATGAAGGGATACTGTAAACCAAGTATTATACGCGTGCGATAAATATCCGCGAGTTCCGCGAGTAACCTTTGCTCGCGGATATTTATCGTCGCGAACCAGTTGTTCATTTTCCCATGTTATGATTAGAGTTATTTGCCCTTTTTTGAATACCCATCCCGACGGTTCAATAAGTAATCACGGAAGAACTTAAGTGTTCTAGAAGCAGTTGAAATTTAACTACAAACATTTAGAAAAAATATATAAACGAATGGCAAATCTAAAACTATTTGTCTGAAAATGATTAAAATTGTCAATAATTATTTCAGCTTGTGTTATTATTGTTCATTATTGTCATAGACGATAGAGGGTGTGTTCCCGTTTTGCACACATTTGGTAATTAAGTATAGAACAACAGGTGTGAAGTGTGTTTTGATTAGCAATTATAGTCTGATTTCTGGTTTGGATTTACCTGGATTTACCTGTGAATACCTGATTTTAGCTTAATGTATTCTTAAGAGATTTAATACAATTTTATAAGCAATTTATTAAAATTCTATATATATTTATTGGAAAATATTTGATTTTATTGAATAAATTATTAATATTTGTTTCATATTATTTATTATTAAGTCAAATTTCTTAAAAAAAGAATATGTACTTTTCAATCTTGATATAATTCTAAATGAATTAAAGATATAACATATAATAAAGAAAATAGTGAATAAAAATTCATTTGAAAAGATGTTATAATAAGATCATCAGATAATCAAATTCATTAACTTTGTATTTATTCTCTTATTTTTTTCACCATAAGTTCATCTTTCACATACTTACTAAGCTAAGTATAGTATAGACTATAGCAATTAAGTAATTATCTCACCTGGTCAAATTCCCGTTTTTCACACATTTTTTAATTACCTGTAATTAAATGTATGCAAAACGGGAACAAACCAGTTAGAGATAGCCTGGTTAATTACGACTAATTATGGCCCTGTCTTTCTCCGTCCTAACAATTTATAATAATTGCCCTTTGGCTATGTAGATCTTGTAAAGCGTCAATTACTCAGTTAGCATGAGGTACTTTTATACCTGAGAGTTTGAAATCAACTTTAATCTCCTCAATTTTTTTTCCCGATTTACATTCGAGCGTCGTGAATAATGCGTAAGAAGGTTTTACTCATGGTAGCATTTTACCTACTTTAGGTGCGGATATAAGATTTTAAATGGACGCAATGCACAGAATGTCTTGAATGATAATGCGTAAGCAGTACTCACGGTAGCATTTTACCTAGTTTATGGGCGGATATAAAATTTTAATTTGATACCAAAAAATTCTTGTGGAAATGAAAAAAAAAATATGACCACTTTTTCGCGGAAATAAATCGTCGCGGATTAGTTCTCTAGCGGTCATTCGCGAATAAAAAATGACGCGTATAAAAATTGGTTTACAGTAGTGCAGCAGTACATTTAATAACTAACAAACCTCCAATATGAAAAATACTGTTGTGGAATTGATTCCCGTTTTGTTATCTTGGTCGATTGATTGTATGTTGTTTTACGTCCCTGTTATCTTCTTGAAAGCAGGCATCAGCAAAACCACTTACCAAGTGTACAAATACAAAACTACCAAGCTACAAAATCAAATTAAGTCAACAGATTTTTCCGTTATTTCCTGATCATCACAAGGAGCACAGGTCTGAAGTGACTGGTCGGTAGGGAATGCTTACTCCTACGTGGCACCTGATCCCACCTCTCATGTGTTAGAGGTTTGTGTTTGGTCTGTTCCAAAATTTGCATTGAATATTTAGCTTCAATACTTTTCATCATCCTTCACAAATCCACCAATTTACAAAATCATAAATATGAATATGAATACTTTAACTTGGACCATCAAATTCAGGGCATCAGTGTAAACAAGTACATCCGTAGAGCTCATCACGACTTGTAAATTGGCATATGCCAAATTAGTTTTCCTATCTAATATCAGCACTGGGATACACCCTTTGCATTCTTTACATCTGATTGGTTTGTCACTGGTACCTACTTGGAATGGACAGCAATTAACAGGGTTGGTTTGTTTACATTTTATTGCAGCTAACAAGTGTTTTCTGGTTGTTTTTGCTGCACTGACCTGTGCAACTATGCTGGAACACTTTCAAACACAGCTCAAGCCGGGCACACGGAAATTTACACCCATTTTTGTAACCAATCAAAGCTCGTGTTACAAGCTACATAGGAAATAATGTTCGTTAATATCTCAATATATTTCATTTCTCCTGTCATGGAAGAAGCACTCAAGTAAATTTCTATTCACATGTTTTGCACATGTACTATATATATACATGATACTAGTGCCATTTTTCTAAGTTTAATGTAAACAAACAATTAACAAGCTTATGTAGTGAACATCAAGTTTACTACTAGTAATCAAGATATGCATTCAGACATTTATTTGAGATGATCCATAAAAATTTATACATTCCATATACTTAAGAAAATCCATAGTTTATCAATCCTAATAACATAAATATTAAATATCATTGATTTATATATCAATACAAATTGAAAGGTTGCTGATGCATAAAAACAGTTTGTATGTTTTAGATTTGAACACATTTGGTGGTGGCTGCCTTGGCATACAACTGATTTAAGAGTCCCCTTTTATTCCAGTCGAGTACGCTTGGCAGTCTGTTGCTTTTTCTTTATCGTTTGATTGTTTTCCTTGTCCGCCGTGCTACTACCCCCTCCTCCTGATTTACTGTGCTGTACATAGCGTGTTACAGTGGAAACACCATCCACAAACTTTGTTTTATACAATACATTGGCGTTATTAAACATTCCATCCTTCAGAGAGACCACTATGAACTAAAACACAAAAATAATTCACATGTAAATACAAGGTCATGAATTACTTTCAACAAAATTAGGAAAATAGGTCAACCTTTATGATACGGCCTCATATTAACTGGGAAAGTATTTGTCAGAGTAACAGAGAGTTGTGGCCTCTATACCTGGGAGTGTTTGAAGTGTGATTTAATCATCTGTCCAATATTCTGTGTGTGTGATATATCTAAAGCAGCATCCACCTCATCCAGGATATAGAGAGGGGCAGGCTTAAAGAGCAGCATGGCCAGGATCAGTGAGAGTGCTATCAGAGACCTACAAACATACAGAATTCAGCTTTAATATTCAATTTCTTTTGTCCCCATTTTAAATCTGTTTTTGTTCACCATTGTAGTCATGGGGCAATTTCAAAACAATACAAATGCAAATGAGACCATCATATTCCTTGTAAAACAACTGTGCTTTCACACATCTAAAATGGAATGCAATCTTTTGCAAGCTTGATGACCAAAAATAACATGAGGTGAAAATAACCCAGTACAGTTGCTTTAAAAATAGAAGACTGACCTTTGACCCCCGCTAAGCTCACTGAGTGACTCCTTCCACACATCACCGAACCCGACTCGGACCTCCAACCCGTCCAGAGCAGACTGACCCTCAGGGGGAGACAACTTGGCTCGAGCCCCAGGAAGAAGAGTGGAGAATATCGAACTGAAGTCCTAAAAATAAATATTAATTCTGAATTTTAAAATGAAAAACATTTCTTTACATTTATATTATTTGTTGGTTAAAAAATTTTCAAGTGTCAAGGATCCTTACTTTGTTTTCAAACACTACATGTTACTTTACATTGATTTCAACCATGTCTCCATCATCTTACATGTTTCTGACATGTCCATGAAGGAATATTATTGTTAACATTTTCTAAAGTCAATGAAGATTTAACAGACCTTGTTGACCTGTCCCCAGGATTTAGTTAATTGTTAACTTGTTTTAAAGTTTCTGAAGGAATACCAGACCTTGTTGACTTGCTCCCAGGCTTTAGTTAATGCCTCATTCTTTTTCTGGTCCAGTTCCTCTATAACAGCGGCTATCTTAGCTTTGTCATTCAGCACGATCTTCCTCTTCTTCATTAAGTCTGTACACTGTAAAATAACAGAAAACAATTACTTCTAATAATAATGATTATTCTATGTGCCAATAATTAAAATAATGCTGATTGTATCAATGTCTAAAGTGCAACTCTCTATCACTTTGCGTATTGTTTACATCCAAGAGGAAACATTTTGTAAATTTCATTTGGCGTATTCAAAATTAGCATAAACACCCAGTATAGAGTTGTTTGCGTAATTATAAATTAGCGCTATACATGTCTGTTCAGTGTATTGTATATGTAAATGATTTCTTAGCGGTATTCATGAATTAAAGCATTGTTATCTGCATCAAAGGTTCAAAGCCCCTAAAATATGAAGCATGCTTTTTTAAGTACACATACGGTACATCTTGTTATCAAAACGTGTCAAGTTTTGAACTTTCATCTCTGTTTCTATCTATATTAATAGATACCTGTTCCTCAGCCTTGCCTAACATGTTCATGGCCCTCATGTTGACACTTTTTGACAGTTTATCTTTGGATTCCTGTAACTTTCCAATCCTTTTCTCAGCTACTTTTGGATCATTGGCCTGAAAGTCATATGCTGTGTTTGGTTGTCCAAAGTATTTCTTCTCATCAATGATCCAATCATAGTTCTGCAGCAGACTTTCTACCTGTAAATCAATAAAGACTTATTCATACATACTGTACATCTCTATACCAGTGAAATTATGGAGAATGGAAAGGGAAGGGAGAGGGGTTGGTGAGATTCAAGAAGGCATATCTATCCAATATCCACAAGTCAACGGAATTAAGATTTTGTTATATAGAACTGGCAAACTTCTGCTATCTAAGAGACCTGCCTCCTATGACTTTACTATATACTGTAAGTTACAAATGTGATG